GTTCAATTGCAACCAATTTAACACGTTCCTTTGAAAGAAGATGACTCCTTGCTGCTTGTGCACTCGATGCTTCTGGAGTTCACCTTACAACACTCTAAGCTAATGCCATTTATGAAATGGGGGGAGTGGTCCAGGTGAGATTTTGAGAATTGAATTTTCTTACCATACAATCATCTGAATTCCAGAGAAGGCTCAAGCAAGGGGAAGGTCAGGGACAGAGCTCGATTAAGAGAAACGAAGTGGAAGAAAATGAAACCTACTTCTCCAGTGGTAGTAACAAGCTCTTCATGGAATAGCACTGTTGAAGACAGCTTACCTTTTTCTAAGATATTTCATCTCTGTGGAGCCTGAGAGGAGCTTTTGCCTTGGAAGTGTACCTGACCTTGAGCTTGTTCTGAAGGTGTTCTGCAACACATGTGAAATGCCAGAGTGTGATGCCCGATTCTGCTGGTATCCAGGCTGTATAATTTATCAAAACACTGAGGAAACCTTCAGAACTGCTCAGGAGCAGATGCTTGTAGTTAAGAGTTCACTGGAAATTCTCCTTGCTTTGAATCTTGATTAAAGCTGGGTACTTCATAGATTAACTTTCTGGTTTAGTCCCTCGAGTTTTAAGTCCTTTTGTGTATTTCTTTTGTATATATTTTGGATCACTAGAGACCTGTCTGTAGGAAAAAGTTGGTTACATCAAGTGTTGTGTCTGGGTGAGACTGGTCTAGGTATGCAGATTGTTATTTCACATAAGGTAATGGCGTTTGAGCTCTGGATAGTTATGGCTAAAGCCTTTAGAGAAGTTGTTAACCTGACCTTGTAGCTGTATAGATAAAGGCTTGTTCTGTTTAAGTGCTGCTGATTGTACAAGTGTAGTTTCAGAATTGCTTTTATTCTGGAAGAAGTTGGCTCACCGTTTGGAAGCAGATTTGTAAATCATCCTGTGCTTATTACAGTGCAGAAAACAGGATGCACCAATAGAAGTTTACTGTCACTCCTGTGTTTTGCTACACTATAGTGAGTTAACTGTACTAAGTAAAGCAAAGCGTGGGGTCAAGAGGAGGGAAGATGACTCACAGGACTGGTATCTAGCATGCATCTTTACCTATGAGGAGCTTCCAGTGTTACATTGTTGTCCTGTAGCCCTGTAGAAGGAACTGGGAATTGCCTACGCTGAGGAGCCACTCCTGAGTTTCTAGAAATTTTCATTTTTTTACGTTTTACTTCTGTTTCTTCTGTGCAATTTTAAGTTGAGGTTGACTTCATAGGGTTGTGGGGGTTTTGCGTAGACTAATGCTCTGTGTGACACTTTTATCTCTACCGATGAAAGTGTGTTGCCAGCAGATAGAATGTCATACATAATACGTCATTTCGTCTCACAGTTCAGTTTACGACAGCAAAAACTTGAAGACAACTTCTGAACTTTGCCTGTGCCTGAAGCCCATACGTTGTAGAATAAGTCTTTTTAAGACAGAGTTTTCTGGGGAAAATGAATGTTAAGATTTTGAAGGAATAAACATCTCCCAAAAATGGTAAATTGTTTTAGGAGAGGGCACACTTCTTGAATACCTATTTTTGTTTTTTTCCTGAAGTGGGTGTTTTAATAACTTGGACTGCAAAAGTATTTTCTGTTACTTTAGTTAATTAGCTGAAAAACCTTATTTTCTCTGAAATTGTTGCTTTTGTCTTAGCCAGAAGAGGTTATTATAATAACTTCAATATGGTGTTAAGTGTACTGCATCACAGTTGGTGGGTTTGTTTGGTTTGGGTATTTTATAAATATTTTTTTTGTTGCAACCTATAGTTCCTCATAATTTGTAAGCTGCTAATATGCCTTACTTTAAATACTCAAAATTACTAAGTCTGTAATACACTTCAGAAATGCTTCCTAGCAATGGTAGTTCCAAACTAACGTGCAGTCAAGTCATTTTTAAGATCAACACGTGATTTCTTCAAGAAAGCTAGAGTAAAAAGCTGGCTTCTGGTTGCTGTTTAGCAAACTTCCTCTTCAGGGTTGTGGTGTGTCCGTGTTCCCATTACTATGTGCTGGTAACAAATACCGGAACCACACCCCATTGTATTACTCTAAATTCACTCTGTTTGGAGTTGATGGATTTTCTCCCCGTGTTGATCTTGTCGATCTAAGCACCTGGTTGCTGGAATGTACACCATGGACACACACCCACACCCTCCACTTTCTTTGCCTGGGCCAGGAGGAATCATGTTAGAGCTAATGAGAGAAGGTAATATGTAGCATTGCCTTCTGAATGAATTGATGAGGTTCTTGAAAGTTTTATTTATGTTAAGTTTATCGGAAGACTTAAAGCTGCAAGCTAAGTTAGTGTTTAACAAGCTTCTTGTGTACAACTGAAAAAGGGAAACCATTGATCATAAAACCGTCAGATGTTAGTGAAATGCATCAGAGTGAAAGTGGGAAGATAGCAAGTGTGATACCGAAAATGGCAATAAGCTATTTCCACTCCCCCTTCCCCCCACCAATTCAGTGAACTTTCAACACAGTGGTACATGGTTAGTGTGTCTGTGGCATCAGTTCTTGCTCTGTCATTTGGAGAATGGAACTTCATATTTCCTACGTGTTCATTAGTTTCAGTTACACTTTGCTAGGAACTTTGTGGTCTTGTACATGTGATGCAGCCAAGTGTTCATCTCAGTAGAACTTAGGTGTGTGCTTACACAAATTGAAGCCTAAATTACTAAGTATTGATTATTGCTATATTGTAGTTGTTGATGATGTGCACAATGGAATATTAAATGCACATCTTTACTAGAAGATGTATCACAAAGACAGATGCCCATAACTTGGTGTTTACTTTCAGGCTGTGGATCTTCTATCCTTCACTTCTTTGATTATTAGTGCTTCACATTTCTGTAAGCCATAGCTTGTATATGACCTTTTTTTCCTTCTTTTCCACTCCCTGCTCTTCTGGTCGCAAAACTAAGGAAAGTGCTTTTAAGTAGAAGGCTGTGTGCCAGGCAGTTACTGGAAGTCAGTTTTGTATTTTGATCCTACCCTTTCTCAGCAGCTCTTTTTGAGACAGCTCTGAAACTTTTGCCTGCTGCAAGAAAGTTTTTTAGGAATAGTATTCTTGTAACTGGCGCTACAGCCCGTGAGACACGCACAGCTTGGCAGTACAGAAGTAGTAAACATAATTTGAGTTTATAGTAATTTTGAAAGATGAGGGTGTCACTGGAGAGCTTTTTCATATTTCTTACAGTTTGTGTCTCAAAGAAAACAGAACGTTTTTTGTCTCAGTGCCATGACAATGGGAAGTATACCAGTCTTGCAGTGCTGCATGTCTTTGCTGTTAGTAAAACTGAAAAACCTGTGGGGCTTTTCCTTGCCAGAGTTTAGGGCTAGCAAGTGTGCTTTGACATTTTTATAGAGAATAGAAAAGAGTGAGAACTGACCTGGCTTAAGTAATACCAGACTGTGCATAAAACACTGTTCTGTATGATGTGGAATGCTTGCCTCAAACTTTTGTTACCTCCAGACTAAACTGGCTACTATGTATGAATTGCATTTGATAATAATCCCAGGATGTTGTTATAAGGACTCATCTTGCCTTTATCCATTTTCTCCATCCATGAAGATGGAGAGTCTGCCTTTCTGACTGCAGGAGACCAGGAAGGCATTTTATTACTGTCCTTAGAACCTTTTCTCTTTGAGAATTCTTTGAAGTTCTCAGTCAGGAAGCTGTTAGTTAACACATGACGTCTCAAAGTGTTTTGGTAGGATTTGATTAGCTAGGTAAATGTCTCTTCACTGGCTTGGCAGCATCTAGTGAAAAAGCAAACAAAAATACTACCTGTACTATGTAAAGGCAGTGGAAGGAAAAGTCTGAATGGTGTGACAGCAAAGCCAACTCTAGGCTGCTTAAACTATGGTCAGAAAAGAGCTTTGATTTGCGCATAAATATAAGAAATAGTTCAGTGCAACTGTAAACCTCAGCTTTGTTTATAAATCTATTGTTTTTTATAATAACTTGTTCTGAAAGATCATGAGTTATACTTGTTAGTTGTTTGTAAACTGCAAATCTCTGGTCTCTGATCCTACCCTTTATCCGTCAGATCATGTTTTAACATTAACTGCCTTAGTCTTATTCTTTCCTTATAAAAGAAATTACTCCAAGTGAGCTGAAAACTTGGTCTTAAATTTACTTTTAAGGAGGAGAAGAGAACTGGTTAACAAAGATGTGATTCACCATAGAAACAGTTCAGCCAATAGCACATATGCAGTAAATTAACCATTTTCTGGTACTTTCATATTTGACACGAAGCATAGCAACAAGATGATAGCTCGACAACAATAGCAGCTGCACATATTTTTTAATTCCTTTTTTGAAAGAGTGTTCTTGTGAAAAAAAAAAATAGATTCCCTGGAAAGTAATTTATATTGCAAGTTTCATCACAAAAATTTTGTGGGTGGGTACAATAGGCTAGAAATTGAATTAGCGATTTGTATAATAAATGATGGTTTTGATGTGATATGACATTTCTAGTCTCTTGCAAGTGACATAGCTACAGGCAATAGAATAATGTCTTCCCTCTGTGAAGATAAATGTCGTATCAGACCAGACCATCATATATTAAATTACAACTTCCCTTTTTTTATCATATGAAAAGATTCATGAGACTGTTCATTAAATAATAGCACAACCCAATTAAAAGGGTTCTTTGGCCAAAATGTCTTGAAGATATTTTCTAATGTCAGGCACATAGTTAATTTATACAGGGTACTGCCATAAGAGGCCTGATCCAAATAAAGGAATTTTCCTTTATGTAGCAAGTGGTGTGATTGTTGCCACACTGAGCTAGAAGGTGCTTTTCTTAAGCTCAACTAGACCAAAACCCTCAAATGCAAATGAAGTATGACGATAAGAGGAATCTAGTATCTTAACTTCCTTTCTTGGGGGGGAAAAAGGATATGGTATGTGTGGCTTTTGTACAATTTGATTGTGCTCATGCTGTTGTTTTTAATGTTTTGGCAGAGAGAAGGAGCAAGAAAGGGAAGAACAGTTAATGGAAGACAAGAAAAGGAAGAAAGAGGATAAGAAAAAGAAGGAATCTGCTCAGAAGGTAGGTTTTGATATTTGAATACTTTCATCCAGCTGGAACATAAATAGTATTGGGGTAGTAAGATACTAAATTGTTTGTATTTGAGATTTAAAACATGGTTGTTTAGAGTGATGTGTCATTAATTTTTTTTCCTTAATTTTTCTGGAACTTAAGTGTTTAACGTAACACTTCTAATCTCCTTAGTGTGTCAAGTGAAGCAAAAGATTTTTTTTTTAATATAAAATATTAAACTCTAAAATTGGGTTTGCATACTTAGTGTATTAGAAGCTCTCTATTTCACTGAAAATCTAGCAGATCGTTCTAAGAATTAACTTGACATGAGAACTCGAGTTCTTCTGCTTATTCCATGCTTCTGACTGGTAAAATCCTTTCTGTCTAGTTCTGGGCTTCCCAGTACAAGATATGTAACCATCTGAGAGCAGGTCCAGGAAAGGCCCCTAAGATGATTAAGGAACTGGAATATCTGACAAACAGGGGAGAGGCTGAGAGGGCTGAGACTGTTCAGCCTGGAGAAGAGACGGCTCGGGGGCATCTTATCAGTGCATATAGACGCCTTGTAGGAGGGAATAAAGAAGGTGGAGGCACACTCTTCTCAGTGGTGCCCAGTGACCAGGCACAAAGCATTGTGCACAAATTAAAATACAGGAAATCTCACTGAATCATTAAAAGACTTATTTTGCATGTGTGTGACTGGGCAACCACTGGAACAGGTTTTCCAGAAAGGTTGTGGTACCTCCATCTTTGGAGATGCATAAAACTGAGTTGGACCTGGCAGTCCGGTTTGGATGTGTCTGGTGTGGATGACTTTGTTTTGAGTTGGGCAGACTCCAGGGGCAGCTGGGGAACTGGTGTGGGAATTGTGGACTTCGATCTTCAGAGGCTGTCCTTTCCAATCTCATTGATGATGTGAAATTGACAGCAGAAGGCTTTACTTTATTTCAGTAGTCTGTTTCAGTTGTTTCAGTAACAACAGATCCTACAAAAGGTCTGACATCGCACGATTGCTGTTAGATTCTCTAGGTTTCTGCTTAGACCAGCCAGCACCAGTTTCAGTTAAATTCTGTCTTACCTGGGGTCAGCTGAAATCTGGCTTTTGCACCAATTTCAGTCCATCAGTTTAAATTAGGTGCAAATAAAGTGGTGCATTTTTGTTGTCTTTATGCAGCCATTGTGTTGATACATCCCCAGTTATATTGCAAAAGATCAGTAGCTACAGAATAAGGTTTCTTCAGCGTTTTTTTGACTCAGTGTTGCTGCTGTTTAATGTTCAAGTACAAAAAATATATGTAGGAACCAGGGGGAGGAGACCCTGGTCGCTAGAAGGCTAGTGACTTGATGATTATATTCTGATATTCAGTGATACAAGAGAAACTTGAAAAGGTTATACAGTTCACCTTGATAACACTGCTATTGGTGTTTAGCAAGGAATCAGCGCTATGAGTACAAAGGAGATTTCCCAGCTTTCCTGTGTGGTCCCTCACCTGCCTTATTCGGTATGATTGCATGTTACGGTATTTTGCCAAGATCTTGATAAGGGTGAACACTAAGTATATTAATCTCCCGGATACCAAACTTAACAGTAATACTTGCAGATATCTAGGAGTAGCAAAGCAGGCAACTGAATGGATAGAACACAAATGTGTGTGTTCATTCCTAGTGGCTGTGGTGGCTTTCACCTAATAAGCAGTAATGATTTGGGGGTATCATTTTTCAGACAGTTTGTGTAACATGAAACAGTCGTTTCTGTTTGGATCTTCTGAAAAATAAAAAAAATAAAATTACTTCAACAGAGGTTATGCAAGCAAATTCACGGACTGAATTCCTGTTGTTGGTGTCCCAGGGGCTGTTTGATAGCTTGTCAGAAGTCTGAGTTTGACTCCACCTTCCCAGTCACTGTAGCTGCTCCTGCCCTGCCAGTGCTTATAGGTTGCCCACAGAGAGATGACAGCTGTAAATCTGAGATGGTGTCATATTTTCTCAGCTTTTGTATTTTAGATAAAAAAACCCCACCACAAAACCATATCATTTTGACTAGAGAGTCAGTATAGGCAGAAGCAGGCAGTATAGGCAGAAGTAATATGTATGTTTGGGGTTTTTTTCCCTTAAGCAAACTGTGGTTATGTAGAATTCTTTAAAGATTTGGCAAAACGAGGTTCTTCTAAATACACAAGTTATTTACTGAGCATGTTTGCCATCGACGATAGTAAACCTATCAGTATTACCAAACTGGGTCCATGAATAATTTTCTGCCTCTTTGTTCTTTAGTAGTAGAGCATCAGAGCCACTGAAGTGATTAACAGAGTTTTTATTACACAAGAAGACTTAACTTGACATATACAGGATTTTTAATAAATGAAGCTGAAAATTGATGTCTGGCTTTTTACAGATGCCATTTTGGTACAGGTGCATTTTTAATGTCTTAGAGACTTTTAGATTACGCAACTCTTTGAAGCTGTGATGCGTAAGATGGTGTATGACAGTGAATGTGCCACTGCATATTGCAGTATTCATTTTTGCAAAGTAAATGATGCCATAGCAGTTCAGTGCAGTTTGTCTTTTTATTCTTTACGATACAAAGGAGTTCTGGCTTGGTTAGTTTAAACAATAAACTGCTTTTTACTTGTGCTTTCATTATCCTATACTGTCACTGTGTGCTTTCCAGAATTATGGACTCAGTCAGCAATTTCTTTTAAGAATAGGTGTCATAGAACCTGACACATTGTGATCTTTAGGGTTTTTTCATTATTGTGTAGTGGAACTCATGATCGACAGGTTCAAAACATGCTACAATACACTCGATTACAGAGAATATACCAGCGGTATGTTTGTCTCTACTGTAGCTTGAAATCTGCTATGCTGAAAGTACAGCAAAACCACATACTGAACTGAGTATGTTGGCCAGCATGATGGCTCACTTCAGTAATCAATTTCTTATTGCATTCAAGAGATTGTGAAGTCTGGTGATTTATAGCTGTTGCAGGTATTTTTGCAATTGTGGTGATGAATCCAGTAAGGTTTAGGATTTCTTCTCCTTGGAAGAGATGTCATGGGAAAGGTGGAATGGGAAGATGGCAGAGACACAGATCTCTCATCTGAGATTATTCCTATGGGAATTCCATTGCTACCTCCAGCAGTCTGCTGTAAGGATACTTTCACAGAAGGAAGTTTTTGTTACCCTTCACCTTCAAAATCTGAAGGAACTGTAGTGTGTGTTTATTCATGCTTTGGAAGTCTGTGTTTGGGATGAGGAGAGGAGTGTATACCAAAAATCGTCATGAGTGAAGTAATTACTGTTTCTGCCAGGAACTTTAGAAATCATGGAATCACAGAATGGTTTGAATTGGAAGGGACCTTAAGGCTCATCCAGTTCCAGTCCTCTCCCATGGGCAGGGACACCTTCCACTAGAGCAGGTTGCTCCAAGCCCTGTCCAACCTGGCCTTGAACACTTCCAGGGATGAGGCAGCCACAGCTTCTCTGGGCAACCTGTGCCAGTTTTGCATCAGATACTCCAGGAGCTGTAGTATTTTTGAAAACTTCGTATCTATGAGTAGGAATACTGTAGTTCATCGTCTAATTATTTTCATGCAACAACAGATACTGTTCTTACGCTAATAAATTAAGGTAATGATTTAGCGTAATCTGTTCAATGTTTTCTGTTGAAGTTGTTAAAACTCTTATTTACATTCTTGCTTTTAAATTTCAGGTCACAGATCAAAAAACCAAAGGTAAGAATCTTTGATTCTAAAGAATATTTTTTATCAACCTGAGCCCAAGACTTGGGTCTTGATCAAAATTATTGTAAGAAGAAGGGCAGTTACAAATCAAGATGAGGATTGTGGATAAAATAGATTAGCTGAAGTACTTAGTTTTCAGGTTTGCAGAGGTTTTAGACAAGTAGCCATACACAAAATCCACCTGTATAAATTGAATGGAAGACAGGGAAAACCAAAGTAAATTAAAATGGCTTTGTTTTGGAAACTTAAGGCACCAAAAAGTCCAACAGATAAGGCAGGACTGATGTTGGAGAATCTTGAAAGCTAAGTTTATTTAGCTGATCTAAAAATATATTTAATCTTGATTTGTGTGTCAGTTTTATAAAAAATACGTGGGGAAATTGCTGTTATTGACAGAAGAGAACTAAGGTAGTAACTCGAATTTTCAGCTAACACCTCCTTTTTTGTGGATTTGGGCATTGAAGCTTACATAGCGAAAGCAGATTTTGTGATGATGTTAGTTCCTCAAGGATTTGTTTGTGGTTTTCCTCTTCTCTAATGCATAATAGCCTTTAGAAACAGCTTGTCTTTGCTTACAGGGGCACCTGCTGACCAGCTGGGAAACTTTATGCAAGTTCAGAACAAATGCTGTATGTAGGACTGCATTTTGGGTGGGAGTCAACTAGTACTGCCTTACTTAGGAGCAGTACAGAGAAGTTGGCTTTCTTAAATCTAAACTGAAGAGGAGGGTGGTGTTTTTTCTCCCCTGTTTGTTTTGGTGGTGGCTATGTATGCCTTAAGCAGGTGAAAACTTGGGGTCTGCTTTCAGATCTCCCATAAGGGTGATGCATAAACAATCCAAAAACCACTTGAAGATCAGGAACAGGGGAGAGAAGCAGACTTGGGAAGATGGACCCAGTTCTGTTTGACTGCTCATGTTTTTAAATGACTCATTGCCCAGGGTGATATTCTTTGCCAGCTGTACGTTTCCAAGAAATTTGGGGCTTAGAGCAAAACGCTGCTGAGGATAGAGTTTCAGACTGGGGTACAGAGTTGCACATGGAAGCAAGAGGTCTGCTGCTCACTGCTTATTCCCTGCTCTTTGATGAAGTTGCACAGCATTTGAGAGAAGAATGGAATTTTAAAAGGAAAGAGTCACAGTGAGTTCTTGCAGCTAGCACAGGTTTAAGTGGAAAAGTTTCTGATTTCCATTCTTCCTGTTTTTCAGTGCCCGAAGTGACGAAACCAAGTTTAAGCCAACCAGTGGCTGCCAGCCCAATTGGCACCTCTCCATCGCCACCAGTCAATGGTGGCAACAATGCCAAAAGGGTGGCAGTGCCGAACGGACAACCGCCAAGCGCCGCCCGCTACATGCCTCGGGAGGTGCCGCCGCGATTCCGTTGCCAGCAGGACCACAAAGTGTTACTGAAACGTGGGCAGCCCCCTCCGCCATCCTGTATGCTCCTTGGGGGTGGAGCAGGGCCTCCTCCCCCAACAGCACCAGGAGCAAACCCAAACAACGCACAACCAGTGACAGGAGCACTGCTGCAGAGCGACAGTGGGACTGCAACAGGCAAGTAATAATAATATAAGTATTAAATGTATGTGTGTGTGTGCATGGCAGGAAAGGAATAGCTAAAATTGTGCATAAGCATGTCATTATATTAAAAAAAGCCTCATCAGATGGCTTCTGGAGAGCTTCTATTTTAGCATACAGACTTTTCTCTTGCTGTTAGAAGCAATGGCTGCAAGTTTTACTAATAGATGGAACAAGAAAGAGGGTTGATTTTTTAAAAAATGTAATGGGTGGCTTGAATTGTATACTGTAAAGCTTTAAGATCACAACAAGGTTCACCCAGTGCATGGATGAATAGCATTTTATGGTTGTCATTGAGTGGTTCTTAATAGCTCTTCAGGTTTCTTTGATCACATGAATTTCCTTGTCACTTTTTTTATACCATCTAGCAAAACAGACATGTAGATAAGAGGTCTGCAGATGCAAGGTGGCTTTCAGTTCTCACCTAGATGAAATAGAAAGCTGGTCCTCTTGCTCCTGACTATTTTTTAGTAACAGTCTTGGTTTTCTCCTCAGATAAGCCTTTTTATAAAAGTGGTGACTGTCCTGTTTTTACTTTTCTGTTCACTTTGAATTCTAGAAGATATTTTTTTATATGAGCATCTATGACTGCTCCTGAGTTTTTTAGACCCCTGGGGAATTGCAGTAATTGTAATACTTCCTTCTTAAAGTTATGATAGTAGAACAAACAAAATTCCACTCAAGACATGTGTCTGCCTTCTAAAGGAAAACTTAGGTGATCTGAGAAGGGTGTTTAAAAAAGAAATAATAAATGCTTGAAAATCAGAAAAAGAAAATAATGATACCACTATGTCTGAGTTGCCTTTGAAAACCATCCAGATTAATGGGATGGCTTTTTTACCACAGTCCTAGAGTGCATAAACCTTTTACAGTTCTCTGTGGTTCAGAAGGCAAAACTGAAGTGGCTTGGAACTCCAGAATCAAGTAAGCTAAATGTGATGGCTGTCTTTATTAGAAGGATTCTAGGAAAATAAATGATTCTGCTTGGTTTGTGGTTTCAATGCTTGAATTCCTTTGTAATAAATCCCTGTTTGACAGATTATTTATCTTGTTATCTTTGATGTTGCCTATTTAAGGGGGAGGGGGTTTTAAACTACAGTGGCAAAGTTTTAGCTAATCAGTTCAAAAAACAGATCTCTAAAGAGATGGCTGATCTTGATAAAACAGCTGAAAGATGAAGGGGGGGCGGGGGTTGGGAACCCACACCCCAAAGTCTTGTGACTGTATGTAAAATGCTAGCATTATGTCAGCATTTGTATACCTTACAGTAATTGCAGTAGACTGACAAAAGAGACTTGATAGTAGTGAAGCATTCTAAAAGTCTGCAAAATTTCTCATGAACAGCATTTATTTGCTGTTGGATGTACTACATGAAGACTATTTTGAAGTATTTTAGGGGCTCCTTAAAGTTTTGTGTGATTAGTTTGGCAACCAATACTTGTTTTTCCAAAACCAAAATTTTATTTTTATGTATTCTCATATTTTTACATTCAGTTTAATGGTACATTTACAACTATCTGTTTATATTTTATTGATAGGGCAACTTTTTATGCCAATGGTTAGTTGCTTTACCCTGGTGTAAGTCAGGAGCGTTGAAGAGAAATATATGGGTCCTTCAGACCTGCCTCACCCCATCCAGCTTTGTGTACCGTAACAGATAATTAAGCTGACTTGAATTAAAATTAAGCCAGGTTGGTTTTTTAAAGCTAACGTCAGCCTGGGTGATTACCAGTTCAGCTCACTGAATGTCAGTGGAAACATGTGCTAGCAAGTTGGAATATGTGTGCCAGGGGAGTGGGAATGAGCAGCTGGACAGGATAGGCCAGGGCTATCACTTAAGGCGCTCCATCAGAATGCTTATGGAGGTACAGTGTTGCTATCTGTTTTGCACATCATTAGCGCCATCTGAAATCCTGGCTGTTGACAAATTGGGCCCAATTCTGTCAGGCACTTATGCACTGATACTGTGATTAGTTCATCCCCCATTAAAAAAAAGACAGGTTCCCAAAGGAGAAAACAATGCAGCTTACCTACTGCATCATGATGTTCTCTTTGCCAGATAGCTATAGATGGTGTTGGTGAGGCTTCGATACAAATAATTAATACATAATCCTTCTCTACCTGGATCTTTTTCTGTCAGAATTGGAATGCTTTGTAAGATGGCAGAGTTCTAGTTCCCTGAAAGATGACACTAAATTTACTGTTGTCTCATAGAAATAGCAGGGGTTGGGGTGGAGGGTGGTATATATAATTCATCCAATACCAATTCAGGATATGCAAGATGATTTTGGAAAACAAAGCTTAAATTTTATTGGTGAAAGTCTTTCACTAGTTACAGTACCCTCTAAGAATCACCACCATCTGTCACAGCAAAACTGCATCCCCATTTCAGTACTTTCATTTATTTCAGTTCCATACTTTCATCCTTAAAAGTAATAATTAAGTAAATTTTTTTAATTTTATTTTAGTCAGATCATAAACTTGCTTATCTTCAACATGTTTGTTATTAAGGAGTAGTTTAAGAAACGAAGAGCCCTTACCCATTACCTTTAGACAAAACAGTAAATCGCCAGAATTTTGTTGCCGCTGTCAAATATAGCAGGGGAGGCTGGCTTTATAGAATAATCTGTTAAATTGTGATCTAGTATACTGTGTTAGCAAACATCCCCATCTTAATACTTTTAGAATGTCTCCACAGAAATAAAATGTGAAAAGCTTTATTAAAATCACCTGTATGGAGATCTTGCTGCGTAGCTGCCTATGCATCATTCATGTGCTGAATCATTGCTAAGTTCAAAAGGCAGCAATAGAATTTGTCTTTGGCTGTCCCCCTTAAGCTATTTCTGTGATTGGTCTATTCAGAATGTTTTTAAATCGGAATGCAGAGAAGCATTAGTGTACGAAAAAGATTAAATACCAGTCAAAAGTCACACTTCCTTGCTATTGTTAAGTTTGCATGTAAGGTAAAGGCAACAACAGAAACGTGTACGGAAATTGCTTATTGCTTAGTCTTTTGGATCTTGGTGGCTACGGTTTAATGGATTAAGGCTGACTTGTTCATCAGTATTCAAAGTGTACAAAAAGTTCTAACCTTGCTGTGAAGTCTAGATCCTTTTTAGTGGTCCTTCATAAGGGGGAATCTGGAAGGCATTCAGTGGATGTTCATTGGTTAAGCTAATAAACAGAAAGCCTGAGACAGGTGCAGAAAGCCAATCTCTTCATCTTCTGTTAACAGTATTAACAACCAGAAATTGTGGTCTTCAGTTTCTAATACATAATATAGGAACTGCGGGGGGGGGGAAGGGGAGGGGGATATACATGTTTTTTAAGGTCAGTATTGGACAGGGTTTTGAGCAACCTGGTCTAGTGGAAAGTGTCCCTGCCCATGCAGGGGTGTTTGAACTACATGATCTTTAAGGTCCCTTCCAACCCAAACCATTCTACAATTCTATAATTATACCTTACTTTCCTGGATGTTGTCATATCAGTTAATATTGGTAGTAACAAAATACATATTTAGTTCTAAATACTGATGCAGATGTTATTATGAACTTTATGCTCTGCAGAATAAGTTAAATTGGTTGGGTGGGATAACTTGAGTAAGACTAGTATGTTAGGGACATGGTTTTGTACCTAACGTACATGGTTTTGTAGAAGGGAGAGTGTTTAGTCTTCATCACTGGGAATTTGTGGTGAGGAGGGCAATTTAAGGTCCCTTGGTATTAAAAATACATAGAAAAATTAGTACAACCCTATCTAGAGAACAACACTGAAGTACTAATGGACTTAAATTATTTAGAGGATCACAAGTAATTATGTGGATAGCAAGGGAATCTTGGCTGGCGTTTTAAACTAATGATGCTAACGTGCATATATGCAGACATCATTCTGCCAGCACTGACATAGCCTTTCATCTATTGTGGCCCTGTGTTGATTTATATCTGCTTTAAAAATATATGCAAATACCTTGTTCATGTGAAGTCATGCACATAGGATATAATAATAGTTCACCACAGATGAAAGAAAGGTGCCCTATTCATTCTCATTCATTCTGCTAATTTTTTTATAGTGACTCCAAAGCTCACTGAATTTGCAAGTTACCCTGTGTAATGTGCTAAGCCAGCAAAAAGCTAACCCATCAAAAAGTGGAGAGTTTTGTGTCAAGAACTGTCACAAATGTGGTGTGAAACTTGGGGAACTTAAAGTAGGTAGAGCTGGTGAGAGAGAAGAAAAGTGAGATCTCTTCCTAGCCTCCATCCAGAGGCAGAGATCAGCTTAGGTGCTCGCAAAACCACAAACTGGTTTCTAGGGTAAATATAGCAGTGACACAAACGTGGTGTAATTACGTACTGAATGCAGCTTGCACATTACTACATAGGAGTTGTAATTTATGTAGCTTTGGACTCTTCCAATTTACAGTAACTTTTGGAAGCAAATTTATTTGTCTTCCAAAGGGTTGAAAGAAGTTCTTTGTAGCAGAATCATCTTGAAAAAGATGTTTGAATCTGATTCTAAATTTCTGTTTGAAAAATCTACAACCAGCAGCAGTAATTGTAATTAACTGGGTTATAATTATTGTGTTGAACTTAGAGCTGGACTGTTAACAGAAGTAGTGAGTCAAAGGTGAATTCAGATGCCCACAGTATGCTTATGGGAATTTTGTTGAAGTCCTTCATCAGTATTTTCAGTGGTGTTTTCCAGCCTAATATTCTTCCAAAGCAACTTTATTACATGCTTGAGGGAAGTGTTCTTATTAATGAAAACAGTAGTTAGTGATGTTCAGTGCTTGAAAATAATACTGGTTTTAATGACCTCTTTGGGTATGTTTTTGGCCTTTTTTTTTTAGATTCAGCAATTGGAGGTGCTGCTGCTTCAAATTATGCAAATTCCACTTGGGGTCCTGGAGCCTCCTCCAACAGCGGCACCAACGCCAACCCAACTCACATCTGGGACAAGGTGATTGTAGACGGGTCTGACATGGAAGAGTGGCCTTGTATTGCCAGCAAAGATGCTGAGTCTTCTTCCGAAAACACCACCGATAACAACAGTGCCTCGAACCCTGGCCTGGAGAAGAACGCTCTGCCAGGAAGCACCACTAGTAACAAAGGAAAAGGAAGCCAGTGCCAGTCTGGAAGCGCTGGAAACGAATGTAATCTTGGGCCCTGGAAATCTGATCCCAAGGCTAAATCTGTTCAATCTTCCAACCCTGCTGCCGAGAGTAACAATGGACTAGGTAATTGGAGGAACTTGAGTGGACAAGATAGAATCAGTCCCAGTACTGGCTTCAGCAACTTTAACCCAAATAGCAACCCATCTGCTTGGCCAGCACTGGTTCAAGAGGGCAATTCCAGGAAAGGGACTTTGGAATCTGATAGTGGTAGCTCCAATGCACAGATTAGCACAGTAGGTCAGACCTCTAGGGAACAGCAGTCAAAGATGGAAAATGCGGGTGTTAACTTTGTCTCTGGCAGAGAACAGGCTCAAATTCATAACACTGATGGACCAAAAAATGGAAACACTAACTCCTTGAACTTAAGTTCACCAAACCCTATGGAGAATAAGGGAATGCCCTTTGAAATGGGCTTGGGGAACCCTTCCAGGAGCACTGACACCCCTTCACAAAGCACTGGAGAAAGAAAGACTGGGAGTGTTGGATCTTGGGGTACAGCTAGGGGGTCTTCTGGAACTGACACAGCCTCTGGACAGAGCAATTCTGGAAACCATGGGAACAATGGAAAGGATAGAGAGGACTCCTGGAAAGGAGCTTCTGTTCAAAAACCTAATGGGTCAAGAAGTGATTCTTGGGATAACAGTAACCGGTCTACGGGTGGTGGGTCTTGGAACTTTGGCCCTCAGCATGCAAATGAAAGCAAATGGGGTGAAGGGAACAAATTAACATCTGGGGTCTCTCAGGGAGAATGGAAACAGCTGTCTGGGTCTGATGAACTGAAGATTGGAGAATGGAGTGGTCCAAACCAACCAAATTCTAGCACTGGAGCATGGGACAATCAAAAAGGCCACCCTCTTCCTGAAAACCAAGGCAATTCCCAGGCTCCCTGTTGGGGAAGATCTTCCAGCTCTGCAGGAAGTGAGGTTGGCTGTCAAAGCACTGGAAGCAACCACAAAGCAGGAAGCAGTGACAGTCACAATTCTGGACGCCGGTCATATAGGCCTACGCATCCTGATTGCCAGGCAGTCTTGCAGACTTTGCTGAGCAGGACTGATTTGGACCCCCGAGTGCTTTCAAACACGGGCTGGGGCCAAACCCAAATTAAGCAAGATACCGTGTGGGATATTGAAGAGATGCCACGGCCCGAGGGGAAGTCTGATAAAGGAACTGAGGGGTGGGAGAGCTCTGCCACACAGACAAAGAACTCAGGGGGCTGGGGCGATGTACCCAGCCAAAGCAATCAAATCAAGTCTGGATGGGGTGAGCTCTCAACCCCAACAGAGTGGAAGGACCCCAAAAATACTGGAGGATGGAACGACTATAAGAACTCCAATTCTTCTAACTGGGGAGGAGGAGGAAGAACAGAAGAAAAATCATCTTCCTCTTGGAATGAGAATTCCAGTAATAAGGATCAGGGGTGGGGTGGACGGCAGTCTAATCAAGGATGGTCTTCTGGAAAGAACGGTTGGGGAGAGGAAGTTGACCAAACAAAGAACAGCAACTGGGAAAGTACAGGAAACAAGCCAGTGTCTGGTTGGGGTGAAGGTGGGCAGAATGAGATTGGAACTTGGGGTAATGGTGCAAATACAAGCGCTGCTTCAAAAGGTGGATGGGATGATTGTAAAAGAACTTCAACATGGAATGAGACGGGTCGACAGCCCAACTCCTGGAACAAGCAGCAACAACAGCACCAGCAGCAACAGCAGGAGTCTTCTGGTTCCTGGGGTCCACCACCCCAAACTCCAAGTAATGGGCGACCTCCAAACCCAAACTGGAACAGTGGACCACAGCCAGCTGCCCCCAAAGAGGAGGAGCCTAGTGGCTGGGAAGAACCTTCACCGCAGTCAATCAGTCGGAAAATGGATATTGATGATGGCACTTCAGCATGGGGAGATCCTAGCAGTTATAACTACAAGAATGTGAACCTGTGGGACAAGAACTCACAAGGAGGACAGGCCCCACGGGAGCAGAGCCTGCCTACTCCAATGACTAGCAAATCACAAGCATCAGGTAGTAGTCTTGTTCCTTTCTTCCTCAAGCTCCTATATACGAATGTAACCTGGAAGTGTAAGAGATCCTTGTGTAGCCTCCAATTCTCAATAGTTTTATTCCATAGAGAAAACCAGTTTCTTATTTGAGTATTTGCTTATGTCTTTAAAATTTGAATCAGTCGGTCCTCTGCTTGTTGTGCTTCAGTACCTGTGATCTGAAAACTGGTCAGCTTGCCAGTGAAAGAAAATGTTAGCTGACAAATGTGCCTATTCAATCTGAACCCTGAAGAACAGGTTGAATTATAGAATCATAGAATAATTTCGGTTGGAAAAAAGACTTTTAAGATCATTGAGTCCAACCGTTATCCCAGGACTGCCAAGTCCACCACTAAACTATGTCCCTAAGCACCACATCTGCAAGTCTTCTAAACACCTCCAGGGATGGTGACTCAACCACTTCCCTGGGCAGCCTGTTCCAATGCTTGACAAGTCTTTTGGGATAATTTTTTTCCTAATCTCCAGTCTAAACCTTCCTTGGCGCAACTTGAGGCCATTTCCTCTTGTCCTATTGCTCGTTACTTGGCAGAAGAGACAGGAGGCCCACCTCATTCCGTCTTCCTTTCACGTAGTTGCAGAGAGTGATAAGGTACCCCCTGAGCCTCTTTTTCTCCAAGCCAAGTCACATTTATTTTATATTTTATTGTTGGAGAATTGGGGAGAAATTCTTTATTTCTTTTTAGTCAAACTTTTTGCTCTGGAACACTCATTTAACACTTGAAATGGAGCTAGTCTGTGGGGTTTTTTTAGCTCAATTTGGCTCTGTCGTATGATAAAGAATACTTAGGAAAATATTCTATGAAATAAGGTCAAGGAAAAGCTACATAGCCTGGGAATATATTGAGGTGTTTCTGTTATGTAATCTGTTCTGTGACATAAACGTGCTTTAAAGAAAATTGTTTTAATACATAACTTCAAATATGTTCTTATTCATCATATATAAAAACCTGGGTAAATCTGGTGCTTTTCATTAGTCATAAAAGTTCACCAGATAGGACAGCATTAGATGTAGGTACATGTTTAACCTGGAGAAGAATATTATTCAACATAGCATTCTCTTCCTTTTCATCCGTGGAAGTTAGTGCCTGCTCTCAGTGATGTGAACAGTTGTCAATTCTGTTGCACCCATGTTACTGAGAACCTAAAGTCCTCAACAGAAAGAATGAAGTAATAGATAATGATGTGGTGCTGCACTGCAGTGAATAGTTCATTGTCTAAATGGTCTGTAATGAAAACTCTTTCTCCTTTGTGCAGTCTGGAGCAAAAGCACTCCACCTGCTCCAGATAATGGTACGTCCGCCTGGGGTGAGCCAAATGAAACAAGTCCCGGGTGGGGTGAAGTAGATGATACAGCAGCATCAACAACAGGCTGGGGGAATGCACCTTCCAACGCCCCGAATGCCATGAAATCTAGTGAGTATAGGCCAGATACCAATTTCTTTGCAGTGGTGCTTTTTAGTGTTTGGGCTTTTGATATGGGTCACCCATGCAGGAATTGTTATCTGAGGCCTAGAAGCAACACATTGAATCAGTAAGATTATGATGGATGAATGATCGTTTACAAATGACTGGAACCGTCTTTTAAGGTAATGAAAAATTTCTTAAGTGAGCAATTAAATGGGCAGCTCCAATTTGTGGAAGTGTTGAAACATGAGAGCATCTGAGTGAGGAAGTGTGTCTTTTTCTCAAAATATCTTTCCTTCTCTGGCTGCCCACTTGTTGCTCAGCACACAAATTTGTTAAGTGATAAATCACTTTTCCTGATTGTATCAGGGAATGCACAGATTTCAGTGTGGAGGCCATTAGGTGTAATGCAACTTGACTTTGAATAGATTATTTTTTATTGTATGGGTGTGGAAAATTGTATCTCTTGAGAACTTAACTTCCTTCTGTCGTTGAACCTAAAGGGATTACTGTTTTTCTGACTATTACCTACCTGCAGCTGTGGTGCTCATGAATGAGATGATGTTGAAATATTTAAAAAAAATATAAAGAAGATAAAATTTTGCTGTATTAAGAGCCTTATTTTTGTGGAAGTTATTCCTTCTGATATGAGCTGTAGAATTTTTATTTCACTCTCTTTAAGCGAAGTACAACAAACAGAAACGATCACCTGCTGATAACAACATAGCGATGCTACTGCCAAAGCCAGTAATATTTGGATGTGAAGTTTCCCATAGGAAATAATGATAATACGTGACAGTTAACTGAATTTGAGTAATGGTACCCACTGTAAAACTGTTTTCAGTTACAAGTTGCTTTTGCAACATGTAATTGTTTGGAATGAAATGCTCTACTCAGATGTGTTCTGTTGGGTTGTTCTCCCTTCTTCCCACCCCAGTTGGCCATTTATGAAACAAAACTGGGAAAAAAGTACTGCTTTCTTGGAGTTAATATTGTAGCAGCTTTTCACGGATGGCAGTAGTGCTTACTGTCACTGCTACACAAACTCAGCACTTCCCAGGATGCTAAACTTTTTCTAGGTGAATCTCTTTCCTTTTCACCTGTAAAAAGCCACCTACATATGACAAAAATAAGAGCCTCTGAAATGCTAATGATCATTCCGAATTCTGTGGACTTATTAGTACTTAGGAGAGACTTAAAAGACTATGCATGGTCACTTGCTTGTCCTAACTTGTCTGCGTGTGTGACACAAGCAGAAAGCTGCAGCATATATGTGCCGTTTTGTACATAAGCTGTTTCCAGCTCTAGAGGAGCAAAATACAGGCAGTTTGCCCCTGATGGCTGTTTCAGGTTGTGGTGTAGGAGATCACCAGTTCAAGAGATGAGGTCTTAATTTTTCTGTGTTCTGTGACTGCTCCCTCAACTCATTTCTAATTGGCACCCAAAAGAAAGCAATGCTACTCAGGGGATAAAGGGGAGATACTGAATGTATAAGTTAGAAGAAGAAATTGATTCAGAGAGCTTGCAAGGGCATAATTTATGGTCAAAGGTAAGGTCAGGAAACTGAGATAAGCAGTGATGGGAAAAGAAGAGTTTAAAGCCAAAGAAAGGAAGCACAGATCTTGCCACCTGTTAAAAAAAAAAAAAGGATTTACGTAGTTGTATCAGCATTGCATAGGAATTCTCTGGCAGAAGCAGGAATAAATTCGGTTTTCTGTAACATCATTATGTCTCTTTAACTTGAAAGTTTCCTTTGCTTACTATAGCTTTTTGTGATTCATCACTCAACAAATGCAGGAAATGAAGTAGGAATCCTGCAGACAAGCCATCTTTACATTACTATCGAGATTCATGTTCAAGAATCTCAGATCTGAGAGCTGTCAATGGAGAGAAATAATTATAGTCATGTAGTTAAAAGCAGGATCATAGCACTGTATTAAAAAAAAAAAAAGTGCCTGGAAATAAATGAAAGCTGCAGGGGCTATCCCATATATGACATTCCCAGATGAAGTTCTTGACTCTGAGGTCATAATCTTTAAATGTAGCCTTTTCTGTGTAAATAGCATGATTAAAGGGTCAAGAGGTAAATTTTTGTACTTGGACCAGTATGTTTCCTAAGCAGCCCTCAATTTTGGTACACGAATAACTTCCAAAAGTTACGTTTCCTGGGAAGTATCTGAGTTATTTATGATGGATTTTAAGGTAGCTCTTAAACTGCCATGAAATGCTGCTGTACTTATTTTCCAGGGTCATCAAGGTAGTGTTCCCTTTAATGGGCTAATTGCAGTTCCAGACTATTTTGTATTCAGATTTTCTGCTATGTGTGTTAATATCTTTATCCCTGATTTCCACACTCAAACCCCAGACAATATGAGAATTTGTTATGAAAAAGGTGATTATGATTTAAATCTTTTTTTAAAGGATATAAATGCTCAGGGAATAAATATACAGAGTGAAGAGTTTCAGCAGGAAGGAGAACAGCTGGGCAGTAGACAAGATGAGGATTTGGTCTCTTGGTGGCTTGTTGGCAGAGGTTAGAATTCAGAGTTGCCTGACGGTGCTAGAGAGTAACAGCAAGAAAAAAGACAATAAGGAAAAAAATCTTAGATTGAAATGATATGGTGAAATGGTTGTAGCTTTCTGGTAGTGGCTTACCTACTTAAACAGCACTGCTAATAAGTCTTTTTAGTGACAGTGTTTAACACAGAAATTCAAGCAGAACAGTTTGGGGTTTTTTTCACAAACTACTTTTGGTGTTACATATAGGGGAGCACAATGCTGCTTCTTTTCCTTCACATTCTATTTAGTTGTTACTCCTTAAAGTTCTGTAGTTTTGTGAAAGGCTTTAGTGCAAGAGAAGGTTTTGAAGCAAGAGAAGAAATAATTGATAAACTACCCAAACCGAAGTCCTCAGCACCGTTGGTTTTTAAGTCTCCTTCAATTCTTTCATTTACACTAGAAAATAATAGATTGCCTTTGAAAGAAATCCCAATGCACCTCTATCTCTATAAGAGAAGAGGCCCCTATGGTTATTATATCTTTATTGCTTTAAAATAGTTGCAAAACATGACATGCTAACATGCCACCAAATCTCTTGGGTTTGGGGATTCATGCACAAGTTTTTAGAGCTTTTAGAGTGAAGACACTTTTTTTTAAGTCCTTTGGGGTTCTGATGATCTCAGCTAATATTTCAGTAGCAAATCACCACTGCATGGTATTGTAGGCTGCTTTTAAGCTTCTTCCTTTTCCTAAAGGTTCTAAATCTATGCAAGATGGCTGGGGAGAGAGTGATGGGCCAGTGACAGGAACGCGTCATTCCAGCTGGGAAGAGGAGGAGGAGGGAGGAGTCTGGAACACAGCAGGCTCTCAGGGAAGCAATTCCTCCCACAACTCAACAAGCTGGGGGCAAGGAGGAAAGAAAACACAAATGAAGGTAAAATGCTTGAATGATTCATAGCTACTGTGTTGTCTGAAAGCAGCATGACTGATATGTTAGAGCACTATAATAGTTCTTCTTTTAAAAAGGTATTACAGAATTCAGCTAGAAAGGTGCCTATTACAGCAGTGTAAAAAATGTGAGGTTTTTGATTTGTTTTAATGTATTATACTTCTTGTGACTAATAAATCTGCCAGAAGTGTCAAATTCCTTTAGTATGTAAGCTGCAGCGCATGACTAAATGAAACGGAGCAGTAAGTATCCCAAGGCTACTGCTCTTCTTTTGTTGACATGTCTTTCTGTGTTAGGCTGCTGCAGTTCTTTGCAGAGCCTTCCAGTTTGAATTCCACGGTTCCTTTGGCATGTACACTTCTTATTTCTACTGACTTTTGTGTTTAGGTCGGAGTTGTGTTTGTTGTTATTGACCTTTGGCCTCACACAGGAGCAGGAGTTTGGCTATAGTCCTAAGTAAATTGCTTCCTAAGGCTTGTTTGTGTTAAAGTTCTCTACTACAGTAACACTTGGTACTGTATTAATATTAGGACTATGCCTTGATTACTTCTAGTCAGATAGGCAGGGCAAACTCAAAAAGCAAGTCCAGAGCAGCTTCCTAGGACATGGAAATAGTTGTGACATGGTATGGAGTTTTACAATTCCCATTCTGCAAAATTATTCCCATGAACTTTTTTTCTCACTCAAAGCCTTCTTTTTATTATAACCATTATAATGCAATTTTTTATTATAACCATTATAACACAACTGTCCAGATTTTTTTCTTTTTTGTTGAAATGTGTTCAGTCTTTGTTTTGATCACCTGTAAATTACAGTAAGGTCAGATGGAGAGTCAGGTCAGCACAGTGCCCATGTGAGAGAAATCATCCTAAAGGGAAGAAATCTACCTCTGTATCTACTAGGCTGTACCAGAGGAGAAAATAACATAACATAAATAGCAGATTCCAGAATGAACCTGTGAAGCATTCATTATACACATGAAGTGTTCATTCAGTTTGGTATGCATAACAATGAACAAAACATAGGACAGATTATTTGGTAACTGTTTCCAACCATGCAAAAACTTAGTATTTTGTTCAGGAAATAAGTTTCTCTGAAACCAGGATCATTTGACGCTTGTAAAAACAGAATTTAAGAAATCAAAAAGTTGCTTGAGAATATTTGTCTTTTTTTTTTTTCTCCTCTTCAGTGTGCATTAAAAGGAGGAAATAGTGATTCATGGATGAACCCTTTATCCAAACAGTTTTCAAATATGGGCTTGCTAGTAAGTAAATTTTTTAAAATATCCAACTTTTGGAAATAAAGAAGTCGTCATTAAACTTAAAATAAGTCAAAAGATCAGCTGTTTAACAGTGTGTAACTACTTATCTGCATTTGCTATGCTAGTATGTTGATTATGCTACTTTTAATAGCTGAATATTCAGCATTTCAGAATGGCTTCTTAGAAAATCCCAAAATCTACTTTGACTCTTGCTTCTTAGAAAATCCCAAAATCTACTTTGACTCTTCAGAGTTATGGTATCTTTTGTTCTGAGTTTGTAATTTCCTTGAAAGTAACAGCATTTGGTGGTTATGGGGGGGGTGTTTGTGTGTATTTTCATAATACACTCTTCAGAGCACTGAGGGTAGAGGCCTTAGCTACTGGCTGTAGTGTCAGACATCTGTGATTAGTCCAAGGCTATTCATTCCGAGTCTCAGCCACCTATCAGAAAAGGAGAGTTAAGAGCCCTGTGTCTGTCTTGGCTATTTATATTTTAAATAATACGTAGCAGGGTCTTTTTAGAAGAAAAAGGGCTCATTATTAATCAGTACATAGAGATTGATTGGTAAAATGAATAAAAAAATGGCACATCATGAAAAGACAGATCATCAGAGAGGTACCTTAAAAAATAGTTGCATATAATTTTTTCTTTTTTTAAGAACTTCTGAAATGCTAATTTTTAAAACATTTTACAGGCTATTGTGCCAACTGTCATCCTATGAAGCTGGCATAGTATGTAATGCAGGCTAACGGAAGATGATAATGCAGAGGTTCTGAGACAAGCCCAGGGCTGTACAAACTGTCACTGACATGACTACTGTTAGTTTGTAATGTCTGTTGGCTCCCAAGCTCAAATTCGGTCTGCTAGACTGTAGATGCTTCTGAAAGCTATGGGAACACCCTGTCCCAGACTGCCAACTAAATCATAACTTGGCAGCACTTTTCAAGGTTTGATGGCTTGACAGGTCATGAGGATGAGCTATCATTTTGGCCTCTATTTTCAGTGTTTCATCTCTCAGCCACTGGCACATGAGGACAGAGGTTCATTTCACAGAGCAGCTGTCTGTCCATCTTTCTCAGCCTGTCGCATGTGTTCATGTGTCTGGTTTCATGTGAGTAAACTAGCCACACACAACATTAGGGAGCCAAGGTGAGCTGTGTCCAGGATGATGTCAAGAATCCTTGTGTTTAGTTTAAAACAAAACTTTCATCGGCACAAGCGTGCCTTTCCTTCATTTCACATTTCTGAAACATCCCTCAGCATTTCAGATGTTGGAACTGAATTTTTTTGTTTTTCTTCCAGAGTCAAACTGAGGACATTCCAGGCAGTAAGATGGACTTGTCTGTAGGTGCGTATAGTTTAATTTAAGTGCATTTGAAATATGAGATCATGTGTAATATTTTTATGTGGGTGACATGCTGTGTTTTGGAAAGGTTTGATCTTGCATTTAGCACTCCTCAAATAGAAGGGTAGAGTTATAGCATCCAGTGTCTTGGCTGTAGGCTTTGAATAGTCACACAGCTGATACTGCTAGGCAAGATTGGGATATGTACCTGTACAGAATGGAGGTAAAACTTGTGGAAGAGACATTCTGTAGGACTGTTTTGATACATGTAGTTTGTTTTCATTGTTACTGTTTCAAGAAAGTGAAGATCCCTTTCCATTTGGTGGAAGAGGAGGGCTATTTTTTGGCAGTAGAACATCCCAATTACTATAGGTCCCTGGAGGTGATGTGAGAGAGGAGAATGTCTTCTGCAGTTGGTTTCTTCGATTGCTTGCCTCAAGCTGTTACAAGTTACTGCTCATTAGAACTAGATTTTTCACTCTTCATAGCCTCACCACAACACTGCACACAGCTTAAGTGGGATGGGCTGTGTGGAAAACACTGGCTTAAATGGGAGTTGGAATTGACCACTTGGATTAATCCCATTTAATCACCTTTTAATTTGTCATGACTTTCTTCTTTGGCAAGCTAAGTAGTGTGCTTTCACAGAAGTACTGATTTAAAATCTTGGAATCAGATTTGATTTTGCATTTGTTCTCCACACTCTCTGAATGTTTGCTATCATGTTATTGCAGTAGAAATACTACAGGTTCCTGAAATCTTCTGCCATTTGAGATGGTTTCCCTACAGGATCCCTAATATATATATATTAAAAAAGAGATGATCCAAACCTGCTATTTCGATTGTTGTATTTTAGTTGCTATCAAGTTTTTGAAGGCTTAGGAAGGTTAAAAACTTACACAGGATAGTGTTTGATACTTATAGAAGGAAATAGGGTTTCTTTCCTGTTCTAACATCTGTTCAGTTTTTGATTCTTCAAAAACTACAGAGGCAGGAAGATCATCTCATACCCATAGCTATGAAGACAGATCATATAGTCCACTTAAAGGACTTTGGAAAAAGCTAACAACAATTTTGGAGATGTTAATTCTATTTCTGTAACTGTTGGGGACGTCACAGAGGCCTTAAATTCTTCCCAGTTACAGTGTCAAAAGCTAGAGGTCTGTAATTTTTATTCCAATGAACGGTATGTCAAAGAAGCATTAGTATTCTCAGCTCTCATCTAGAACAGTGAATTTCCTGTATAGGTGAGGTATGCCCTATGGGCTTCAGGGGAGTGTGTATGTAGTGGTTCTCTTTGTGGAAAACATCCCTGTATCAGTGCAAATCAAGTTTGTTATGAAGATATAGACACCACTGATTCTGAATCTCATGTGATTATCACTGAGAGCTATGGTTGCTGTCACACAGTAACCATTTTACCTGTTTCATATTTTAAAACGTTCTGGTACCAAGCAGCTTATTTTCAGCTACTTTCGCCTGATAGCCAAAAGTGTCTACCTCATTTAAAATAGGGACACATACAGTCATAAAGAGCTGCTGAAAGCACAGCAAGGACTTGGTAAGAAGGAGAAGGCTGGCTGGAGGAGGTGACTGACTTGAAATCAATGCTTTTTCTGCTAGTGGTTCTAAATTTCCTGTGGGAGACTGTAGTTTGAATTAATTACTGATGATCCCTTGGTGGTATCTCTGAAGAACCACCTGCAAAAGTAGTTCTGAGCCAGGTTGCAGTTTGTGGGATTGCTGGATGAACTAAAATTGGTGTTTACAAGTTAAGTTTTCAGAATATATTCTGAAATTCATTGCTGTACGCTAGAATAGTGTGGGGTCTGTCATGCAAGTTGACTGTATCTAACATTAAGGATATAATCTCTTTACTCCTCAGATATTACCTGCCATAGAAGTTAGTCTTCAAGTGTATGACTGGCTGTGTGCTAAATACTAAGTATTGTCATCATATACATTTCAGCATCATATACATTTAAGTTTGGTGCATTCGATCTTGTCTTTGTGGCAACTTTTTGTTTCATTTCTGGATTATTATTTTTTTCTAACCTAAATATCAAATAATGACGGGAAGCTGTGTGTTCTGCTCTTAGATAAATGCCACCTTGAGGTTTATGTTTTTACAGTTGTCAAGACAGTTGGCTAGTCTGATGTGTTCCCCCAGACCCTGAAAGTAACGCAGTAGTGAATGCTACTTTGTCTTCTGTCTGAGTGATACGATGGCCACATGACTGAAATTGAACCTATACTGTAGGACTTTTGGTAGCAGTGGAAAACTCAGTAGCACAAGTTCAAACCCTGCAAATGCAAGCAGTGTAAACATTAATTCTTGATTTGAATAGTAGATTTTTGCGACTACAGGAAGCATTTCTTGTGAAACTGGCCCTTGTGCTGTTTCTCCAGTTTCTATGCCATTCTGATTCTGACATACTTCTTCTGTGCCTTTCTAGTATTGTTGACCAAATTATTCCACTATTATGCCTTGCAAGAAGTCTGCTCTGATATTAAGCCTCTTTGCATCAGTCCTGTCACCAGCTTTAGTACGTCCTCATCTGCCACTGTTGTAGCATCCTGTGTGATGCTGTAGTCAGGTTTTTCCCAACCGAAAACTTAATTTATTTGGAATATTGATTAATCTTTGTACCAAAAGTAGAGTTGTGGTAGTCAAGACTTACATCTAACATCAACTCCAGATTTGTTACTCTAATGAAATCCAAATAGCTGCAGTGTCTCTCATCTTAGAATCCATTGCATTCTTAAAATGCATATCACACTTCATAGAGAATTAAGTAATTCTTTTTTTTTTTTTTCTTCACAAAGTTGCTTTCTTTCTCTTGAATAGTTAAGGATCCCAATAAGAGGTGTTAAAGCATGTGTATATATAGTACAACATAGTTTTGGTGAAGGTAACAGATTTTTTTTTTGATCTCTGCACTTTGACTTAGTACAGCGTCTCTAGAATTCAGGCTCTGATTGTATCATGGTTCTCTAAAGATCTTCTAGACAGAAGTCTAGACAGTTGTCTTCTTAGATATTCAGTTCTCATCTGCCTTCAGATGCTGTTGTTAGAGAACAGATCTAAAAATATACAAATGAAGAGGATGGTAGCCTGGATTATGCTGATAATAGGTCTCTTAGTTCTTCTTAAACTTTTGGATCCTTTACAACTTTGTGCTGTCAAGGACCTTAAGGCCATAAGGCCTTCTGAGGAAAGATGGCTGAGGCTCAGTATATCCTGTGGAATTATGCTGAAAGGTTGCATACTTTGTCTTTGCATACTTTGATCTGTTCCACTTCTTTAAATTTAGTATAACCATTAATGGTGGAGTCCTTGATCCTGGGTAGAGGCATTTATTATAGTTTGTATTCCATTTCAAAGTTAAAGAATGTGACATCTCCCTGATGCTTTTCTGTTACTAATCTCTTTAGCTGTTTCACTCTTGTTGCTTGTGGAAAGCTGTAAACTTTTGCTCAGCCTGTATCTACTTCTGAACTTTAAATGTTGGACTTACTTATTGAGGTAGGCTTGTGCTTCATCTGATTTTCAGTCAGGCTTACAACATACCAGGTTATCCTAATGAGAACTCCCAGCATGGCATTTTCCCAATTTATGGATAAATGCACATTGATCTTGGAGTTAAATCAGTGCTTGGGAACCAAACATACTGAAGAAAACTTTGGTATGTATGGATCACCTTGGCTTTGATCATCATGCGTTGTAAAATAGTTTCAGTTGTCAGTAGGTAACTCTTACTGTGTTGGTCTCAGTCATCTTTGAAAACTGTGTTGCTTTCATTGCAAGGTGCTGGAGTGACTCTTATTTAGTGACCAAGACAGAAGAGATATGGATCAGCAGCATGCCTTTCTATTTTTCTATCAAATCCTTCGAGTGGGGAGCTTGTTTTGCTTTGAAAACAGGATATCGCATTTTCCATTGAAATCACTCCTAGTTTGTAAGTCCTGAAGCATGAGGTTTGCTACAGTAAGTAGTTAGTCAGAACCACCTAATATTCCATCATTTCCTTTCTTCTGTTTGACAGGCACTTTTGTCTTTCTTTTTCTTTAATGTAGTAGTTGCAGCCTCTGCAGATTACTGAAGTCAACTGTAAAGACTTGGAAATTAATTTCCATTTTCTATTGATTCAAATGCAACCCATGCAGCTGTCTGTTGTAAATACGTTACAAAACCATAACCAGATACAGCATTCAGGTGCAACACCTTATGATATGTACATTGATATACAACATATACGATATCTAAGTACATGTGCTTGTTCAGTAGGCTTGGATGATGTAAATTTATGGCAGAAGTAAAAACCAAGCATCTTTAAAATGTTTTTGGTTTTGTGGTCAAGCAGAAAATATTTCAAATGTGGGAGATTTTTTTCCCATTTGGGTTACCCTGTGGGTTATGTGTGTTTTCACTGTGTTGAGTCTGTTATTTGCAAATATTTTAGGTAACTTTGATCAACAGTGGTTTCTGTTTCGTATCTCCTGGTATAAAACACATTATACATCATTTTGTTCATATAGAATTCAAGTTTTATTTTTTTCTTCTTGGACTGTGTGAATATGGTGGAGTTCTTATACTTGACAGTCGTCTTTGCCTCACTAGGGTGTGAATGTCATCCTTCAAGCTCTTGTTTCATTTTGCATTTTTCATAGTGCTAATAGTGGGGAAAATCCAAGAACTGATGGGAGTGGCACCTTTTATGAAGATGGTTGGACTTTTAACCTGTTCTGCATTTCCACATGCAGAGGATTTGGGGCTTCTTGTTTATTAATGCACAAGTGTTCTTGCCTACGCAAAGGGTAAAATTCAGACTTTCCAGATTTCAACAGTAGTCTTGTAATATGTAAGGTAAAGCCAGTCTTCAGCCACCTGCATTATTTACAGCTTTTGTTGGCAAGTGCAAAAGACAGGCTCACACAACAGGTTTCAAGGTTGCATTAGAATTTTCTATGAATGGGGTAAACGAATGCAGTCATTTCTCTTAGCAAGGCTTTGTACTGAAGTTTAAGCAGGTGCCTCAGCACTAAGTGGCATGCATATCTACGCTGGAACCCTTTAAAAGTACTGCTATATGCTCTTCATGTTATTTACCAAGGAGTTTTACAAGGCATTATTCAGTAATGTTTGAGGAGTTGATTGGATCGCCAGGATAACTGAAGAGACGAAAGGGTGTTTCTGTGTCTTAGCCAGCTTGTGTTGGCATCCACCCAGTTTCATTTCAGATAGTGATGCAACTCTGTCTTGCTTTCAGTTTCTTTTCAAGCAGCTAACAGGCAGGGCTTCCTTGTCTAGAATTAAAGTATGAAAGCCTTTTGATAGTGCATTGCTGGCATTGTGTGTATGTAGTTGTTAGATGTAGGTATTGACAGGATTGAGATGTAGATGACATTTTATGTGACTACTTCTGCAGAACCAGTTCTAGCTTTTTAGGATATGCTAGAAAGACATGAGCTCATCTGGGTCAGTATGACTCCAGTTACAAGCCAAGATTTGTCAAGTGTTTTTGTGATAAGTGATGTTGAAGGCATCTGAGAGGATGAAGCTGGATCAACTTTGAAAGCTGTGCCAGCAGGAAAACCCCATGTAATTAATTAGTAGTTGATTTCACGTGTTCTTGGCAATAACATATCTATGAATATTAACAGTTTGTGATGGAGCATTAAGAAAATATCCTGGCTTTGAGAAACTTTTTTGAGGCACAGATAAGCATTTTTAAGATATTGGTGTGATGAGCTCTCTGCTCTGTTTGATAAAGACTGTGTTTGTCAGTTGTAGGGTAGGATAGCTATCATCCATTCTTTGGAAGAGTCATAGTTTTTGGTTAACTGTGGCGACAAGCTTTTCAAACCATTCTTGGAGAGGCCATCTGTGCTACTAAATGGAGTTACTTAAACCTAAAAATACCAGTAAAGCTCATTTGTCACACTGCCCATATTTTAGAGCAAAGATATTTTCCATCTACTTCAACAGAGCAATATGTATCTGATACCTTGCAGGTGCCAAATACGACCCAAAAAATGGTTCCTTGGTAGCTGTTCAGTGTGTAAGGTAGAAAGCTTCCTTCAGTAAGCACGTGGCTGATGATAAGTTTACAGAGAAAGGGGATGTCTAATTCACCATGTATTACAGTTTGATTGTCTGTTACTAACATCTCTTCCTCATGTTCCACTGGTTTACTCATTAAACAACAGCAGGAGACTGTAGGGGATGTTTGAAAAGTATCTCTGTTGCTGGTTTGTAATCATTGCATACAAACTTAGGGAGATTGGTTGCATGTCTGGAAGTTAACAGCGTACCAGATGATCTGTGGTGTTCAAGAGTTAAGTTCACGTGACTACAGAAGTGTTGTGATCAAATTATGTGCATGATTTTGCAGTTTGAGAAATTTTCTTGATGCCAAACCCACTAAAAGCTAAGTACAGAACTTAAATAGTGGTGTCTCTATAGATACTGAATACCAATAAATAACAGTGTGAGTTTCAGAAGACATTGAAAATTATGTGTAAGTGAATATCATTAGTTGAACTAGGCTGCTGTAGTTTGCGTATGTTTGTATCTGTACATAAGTTGTGAGAAATACTTCACATTGAACTCTAAATTGGCTTGTTCAGTCTTAAAAATGAAGCTGCCTACTTTGATTTATGAGCACTTTTAATAGCAACTGTGGCTATGCTGGATTATAAGACAGATCTAATTTATACCCTAATCTTAAAGGTACTTCCTTTGGCTGTGAACTTACTGTCATCAACCATCATTAATGATAATGGTAAAGAGTATTGGCACTAATCTTCATCTTTTTTTCACAGGTGGTCTCCCAGATAAGAAGTTCGAAGTAGATAAACGAACCATGAATCTTGGGGATTTTAATGACATGATGAGAAAGGATCGTTCTGGGTTCCGTCCATCTAATTCCAAAGACATGGGAACCACAGATAGCGGGCCTTATTTTGAGAAGGTGAGAAAAACACCTTTAGGTAAATCAGTATCGACCTCTGTGAGGTCCGAGTTTTTACACTACTCCCTGGAAATGCTAAAAAGTCCAGTAACCTTTTCTAACTGAGCAATAAAAGGTGCAGGGGAGTTATGTTTGTAGAACGAACATGTATATAAAACAGAGGTGTCAGATGTGCATAGACAAACTAAATTATTGGGGAGAATAAGGCTTTTTGTCCAAGAACAGAGTGCTCTTAATATAGACAGAAAGAAATCCCTTTGCTGTTCTTGGAAGGGTAAACTATCAGTAGCAATGAAATTCATTACAGGTTTCATCACAGTGATTCTTTTGGCTATGACTACCATCATCTACTGTAAAAAAGTTGGTTTAAATGTAACTAAACATAAGTAATCACAGTCTTCCAAGTTTTTTCTGCTTTCATGTCTGTCGTTTATTGGAAACACGCTTTCTAAATTCCACAACCCCTTATGCTGTATGTCCATGTACTGTAAGCTTCTGTATGACATCTGTTTCTCTGTGACATCTGTTGTATGTTATGGTAGTGTTTCTTTCATATTCCTGCTTGTTTTAAATAGAAGCTTTCACTATTATTATTAAACATTAATTGCTTCACATTATGAAGTGGAGAGTGTCCAGTACATTCAGAATGCTTTAGGTGTTTTTTTAAATACAGTTTGTCACATGTAAAATGGAAAAGAAATTTGGTTTAAAAATTCTGAAGGCGTGTTACTGTCAGTGAAGTTTTTAAACTCCTCCATTTTGGTAGAACAGGCCAAAACCCAGTTTTGTCAACTCCCTCTGGTGGCCTAATAAATAAAATCCCACTAGCAGAGCTAATGCAGTCCTAACATGATTTTCGTAGGTGTGTGCTAACATTAGGGATTCATTCAAGATGTGTTTGTTTCTGTAGTGGTAATAGCCACTGTCAGAAATGAACTTCATGAGAGTTGAAAACATATTTTTAAAAATAAACCTCTAGGAGTTTATTGATTATCTCCTCAGACCAAAATCTTCATTGTCAAGTGATCATTTAAGTCAGAAGTTTTGTCCTTGTAATTGCTATTACAAATTAACTTTGCTTCTTCCTAGTCACTCACTGTCCCTCTTTCTCTCCTCTTGTGTTCTGTTGCTTCACTAACCGACTCCTGCTGTTGGCTAACTGCTGCTTCAGCTGACTTTGCCTTTCTCCAATCAAGATGGGTGCCTTGGGGATGAGGCTCCCTGCTCTCCCTTCTCCCCTTCTCCCAGCTACAAGCTGTCTCCCTCTGGTTCCACACTATCCAACGTCAGCCTTGGGGCAATCGGCTCAGGGCTCAGTCCCCAAAACTTCGCTGCTAGACAAGTAAGCAGGCCACCTTATAAGATGCATTGTTATAAGGCTGCAACCTGGGCTTAATCCTGGTTAGTTGGTTGCTTGCATTTGTTTTCCTACTAAGTAAATTAATATTGTTAATGGGAATTTCAGCTATATCAGGCCATTGAGAATCAGTCCACTTTGGTTCCTATATCAGAATGTATCATATCTGTTTTTGTTGGCCTCTTACTTCCTGAATCACAGGCAGCAGCAGATAGATGTGCTTTTCAGAAGTCATGAAGTTAGTGACAACCTTCATACTTAATTGCTGTTTTAAAACCCACTTGGAGGCTGTTGATTTCTCCCACCACCTCAACACTGAATTTTTGCAGACTCCATCCAATGACCTTGTATGTAGGAGTGTGCCTTTAAAAAAAATGCGGTCATTTTGCATTGTGTCTGTTCCTTTCTCCCTTCCTTGCAGCCTAAGGAAAGAATTGATTTAGCAGCATTTAAAAGCTCTTGAAGTAGCAACATTTTTGTTCTTTATACAGGGGAGTAGCCGAGAAGAAATTAAGTTGTTAACTGCAGTTTGAATAATTTCTGGCTCTTATGGTTTGCATTGTGCTAGAAGAAAATATTGGAGGAATACTAGGAAATGAAAGATTAGAACCTTAGTATTGCAGCTGGACTAGCTTATGTAGTCACATGCCTAACATGATGGTGTTTCTTTGTGTTGTCTTTCTGTTTCTATGTGACACAATCAGTGTTGAACATCAGATTAAGTCCAAATTTTGCAGGCATGTTCTTGGATTTGGTGTGCAGGACTCTGTTGAGTCTTAGGGAGGGCTGAAAGTGTAGCTGCTCTCAGAAATTTTAATGCGTAGTTGACCCCAGTCATTTCTTTCCAGAACAAAAACTCTGTCTCTTGCTTTGTTTTGTTTATCCTCCTACTTAGTGTGATGTCTTGAGTTGTGTCTGAAAGGGAAGCTACATTAACAAAGTGAAACGTGATGCAGGTCAATGAGGCAAGTCATAATGCTGCCAGTATAGAAGCTGGATTAGAGACTTCAGTTTTAGCAAAAAGAGTGGAGAACGCACAGTATTACGGTAGAAGGGAGGCAAGGTTTATGAAACCTTGGTACATAAGGAAGGGTTTGGAGAAGGCCTGCACAATCCCAGTTTGGAAGAATGATGAATTTAAGTTGGGTATAGCAGTGCTGATATGGAGAGGGAGAACAGAGAATGATGGTTGAGGGATGGAAAATGTACTGTACTGTTTAGAACCCCAGAGACCTGAGGATCATAGACATCCTCATGTACAGCATAAGATGAGAGAAGTGCTGAGGGTCTTGGAAATGAAAGGACAGAATCATGGCACATAAGGAACTTTTGGAATACAAGCTTCTGCTTTTAGAAGCAACAGCACGCAACTGTTAAGTATAGGAGACAGTCCGTAACATTTCCTGTGGCTTTCGTTGAAAGATGTTACAAAGGCAGGCAGTCTGCTCAGAGGCTGAAATAGTGAAGCAGAATGATGAATTTTCTTTGGTCTTTTTCATGCAGTGGGGCTTATTACAGAAGTTCCTTATAAAACAGCAAATTCTTCTCCTTAAAAATAAGCCTTGAGCAGCAAGTATTCTTGCAGTTAGAAAATAAATCACTGGGAGAAAACAACCAAGCACTTTTTCTCCCTTGAAGATTTTTCCCCTCTTCACTTTAGTGGGGAAAAAAGGAAAAGAAAAACATCCCAATCCAGAATGCTGACATTTTCACGTTGGAAGGAAGATTTGTAATAAAATTTTAGAATGCTAATTTCAGTTAGTAAAAGGCCTTCAGAGGAGGTAGTAGGCTTGTGAGGGATACCTCAACTTGACTTGTCTAAAATGATGGCGTAGAATTCTTGATGTCACAGTCTTGCCCTACTGTTAAGCCAGTGAATGGTTTTTGAGTGTGTTGTTTGTATTCCCAAGTTTCCATTTCCCAACATGTAAAGTGCAAAATACAAAACATTATCTTTGCCATGTGCTTTGAAATAAGTAGATAAACATGACTCTTAAATGTAGAGGAGAAAGAGCTTGCGTATCAAAAATGTAGTACAGCAGTTTTAACCCAGGTAGAGTATTACTGATGTAGGGCAAACATCTCAGTAATTCTAAGGGTGCTCTGTTGAAGTCAGTACTTGCCTCATTGTTATTGATATGTAGTTAATAGCATAGAAATCCATCATCTTGAAAGATTCGTCTTCTCACTACTGCTTTAATTTTGTAGGGTGGCAATCATGGTTTGTTTGGAAACAGCACAGCACAATCGAGGGGCATGCACACACCAGTGCAGCCACTAAATCCTTCCCCCAATATCCGGGCGCAAGTGCCTCCCCAATTTCTTTCTCCCCAGGTAAGGAATTTATAGTAACTGCTTACTTGTAAAAGTAGGGCTACAGCCTTCAGACCACATCAGTGAGGTTACTTGACACATCTGTCTTAATCTTGACTTGATGTTAAGAAATGGCAAACTTAGGTAAGTAAAATTCATAGTTGGAAGTACTTAAAACTTGGTGCAGAAGGATTAGCCTTCTTATTCCAAGTTGCTGGTAAATGCTCACTATCAGTATTTTTAAACCTCATAATAGATTTAGGAATCCTGCGTCTTAGGTAAGTTTTTGCAAACTATTTTAAAAAACAACAAAGAAAGTGAAAGCTGAAAGTTTCTGACGTTTGACAAGTTGCTTAGTTTTTTTCAAGCAGTCTTGTCCTGTGCTTCTTGCCCCCCTGAAAAGAGAGGCCTTGCATAGTACTCTTATGTTGCACTTACATTGCAGAGTTCTAAGACCTCAGGATCCCCAAATTCAAAAGTTAACCTTTTACTTCCGATTTGGTGAAGGCTTTTGGAGATTCTTTTGAATTCTACTTGTGTAACTCTGAAATAATGCAGGGAAAAGCGGGGATTCTTTTCCACCTGCTCCTGTCTTTTACTATAGCTTATTCAGCATACAAAGAGATTAACTCTTTCTGTGAGGCACTGTTTCTTTGCTCTGATGACTGCCTGAATGCCTTTCTTTTCCCATGTCAAGCAGTACGTTCTTAAATGTGATAGTGCAGTACTGTGATTACTAGTTAATTTAGTGCAGTCTCTAGCAACCAACTGGTTGGGGAAGGAACCTTTCCGTGTCTGTCTGCATCTGCACATGTAAATACTGTATCGTCAATCAAGTGAGGTATCCACTCTGCTCAAGTCATAGATTGTGCACGTTTAAATGTCATCTGTTAAGAAATCTGTAATGTCTTTCCCAGAACACCATTTAAGATTGGTGTCATACCTGTTGCTTTATAGAAATGCTTCATTGTCTTTTCTCATAGCAGTGCATTTCTTGAGAGTATGTAACTGATTTCCATGCAGGTTTCGGCCTCCATGCTCAAACAGTTTCCCAACAGTGGCTTGAATCCTGGTCTTTTCAATATGGGCCCCCAGCTTTCTCCGCAACAGATTGCCATGCTGAGCCAGCTTCCACAGATTCCCCAGTTTCAATTAGTAAGTAACTATTAATCTTGTGAGACAGAGGATTTGCAAATTGTCTGCTGGAAGAGTTTTCTTTCTGTTTGTTGTAATTTTGGTTTGTTCTACTGATCTTGTATTACTTTTGCAACAAGTATCCTGTTTGCTGTGCAAGAAAGTACGGCCCTGTTAGAGGGCAGCAGATAAACTGAACAGACCTGTAATTATTGTGTTTTAGTGAGTTATTAATGATTCCAAGCTGTGTCTTTGTACAAAAAGCAGTTGTTCATTGATTTTTAATAATGTTCTATTTAGACTTCTAGCCATAGTGATAGTAATAAAGCAGGTACTGGTAATACTATTGCATGAGGTTAAATTAGAAACAAGTGAAAGAAATAGTGTTGATGCATTCATTATAATTGTATTTGACTGTGTGGAATAAGAAACGGTTTACCTAAGTTCTGAGTAAAGCGTTTTGCTAGTGACTAGTTCCTAGCAATCACATTTCACTGCTGAGCGCTGTGTTTTCACTCTTCCCACCCCCCTTACCTCGTAGGCATGTCAGCTCCTCCTTCAGCAACAGCAGCAGCAGCAGCTATTACAGAGCCAGAGGAAGTTATCTCAAGCTGTGCGGCAACAGCAGGAGCAACAGGTGTGGCACCGGTTTTGTCAATCATACGAAGTATGAAATGCACTGGGAAAATGCTGTCTGCAGCAAAGACGGCACAGGCTTTAGCAATGTCATTTGCTCTCTTCAGATTCCACTTTGTAGAGGGCAAGGTCCTTTGGATCCCTTTCAAGTCACTGTTTCTTCATGTTTACTGAAATTCTGTGTTATAATATAGGGTGTATCATTCCCATTTCTTTCATATGCAGATTGCTCGTATGGTGAGTGCCCTCCAGCAACAGCAGCAGAGGCAGCCTAGCATGAAGCATTCACCATCCCACCCTGTTGGGCCTAAGCCACATTTAGACAGCATGGTACCCAATCCTTTGAATGTGGGTCTCTCAGATTTACAGACCAAAGGGCAAATACCTGGATACGGTTCAGGTAAGTACTCTGTGGAAAGCGATTTGAACACCTGTAGGTACCCTATTAATATGGTAATTGCATTGCCATATTAGCCAGTTACACAATCACAGATGGTTTGGGTTGGAGGGGACCTTAAAGGTCATCCAGTTCCAAACTCCCCCGCCATGGGCAGGGACACCTTGCACTAGACTAGGTTGTTCCAAGCCCCATCCAACCTGGCTTTGAACACTTCCGAGGATGAGGCAGCCACAGCTTCTCTGGGCAACCTGTTCCAGTGCCTCACCATAGAATCATAGAATAGCTAGGGTTGGAAAGGACCTTAAGATCATCTAGTTCCAAACCCCCTGCCATGGGCAGGGCACCTCACACTAAACCATATCACCCAACGCTCTGTCCAACGTGGCCTTGAATACTGCCAGGGATGGAGCATTCACAGCTTCCCTGGGCAACCTATTCCAGTGCCTCACCACCCTCACAGTGAAGAACTTCTTCCTTATATCCAATCTAAATTTCCCCTGTTTAAGTTTTAACCCATTACTCCTTGTCCTGTCACTACAGTCCCTAATGAATAGTTCCTCCCCAGCATCCTTATAAGCCACCTTCAGATACTGGAAGTCTGCTGTGAGGTCTCTACACAGCTTGTCTTCTCCAGACTGAACAACCCCAACTTTCTCAGCTTGTCTTCATATGGGAGGTGCTCCAGTCCCCTGATCATCCTCATGGCCCTCCTCTGGACTTGTTCCAACAGTTCCACGTCTCATAATAAAGAATCTGTTCCTAATATCTCATCTAAATCTACCCTCTGTCAGCTTAAAGCCATTCCCCCTTGTCCTATTGCAAAAAGTCCCTCTCAGGATTTCCTGTAGGCCCCTTTTAAGTATTGGGAGGCTGCTCTAAGGTCTCTCTGGAGCCTTTTCTCCAGGTTGAACAAGCCCAACTCTCTCAGCCTGTCTCCAAAGGAGAGGTGCTCCAGTCCTTGGAAGCATCTTCATGGCCCTCTGTACTCGCTTGAGCAGGGCCATGTCCCTCTTCTGTTGGGTGCCCCAGAGCTGGACGCAGTACTCCAGGTGATGTCTCATGAGAGCAGGGTAGAAGGGGAGAGTTGCCTCTCTCAACCTGCATGAGTGAGTCCAGAAATAACTATGAAATGCGTATAAGCATTAGGGTGAAGTTTACGACAGCTGTTAACACCACTTGAAGAAATTGCATTGTTTTTCATTACATGGGAACATGACAAACCTGATAACAAAGCATATCCTGGTGTGGTGTATTGACCTAACAGGATATTTTAAAATTGCCCCTTGAACATTTCATTTGCTGCTGTTGATATTTTTTTTTAATTATTTTTTTCCTTTTTTTTATACCTTTCTTATGATAACAATGGCTCCCTGTTCAAAGATGTTTAAACTAAAAAGTGAATGACAATGGAGTTTTGTTTGTTTGTTTCACAGGCTTTGGCTCGAGTAGCATGGATTATGGCATGGTGGGAGGGAAGGAGGCTGGAACAGAATCCCGCTTTAAGCAGTGGACTATGATGGAAGGGCTGCCCTCTGTGGCTTCACAAGATGCCAATATGCACAAAAATGGTGAGAAGGGGACTGGCTATTTTGGGAATGTTCTTGCAGTATCCTCTTTACTGGAGGTGAAATAGCTCATATAAAGTTATGCTTCAAGTTAGTGGATATCTTAGCAGTATACATCTTAAGTATTTTTTTGTTTAGTGTCCCATACTGGTAAAGATCCCACCCTTTCCTGAGTGTAAATGTGTCTCTTTAATGCTCAGGTGCAATAGTACCCCCTGGGAAGACTCGTGGAGGATCGCCCTACAACCAGTTCGACATAATTCAGGGCGACCCACTGGGTGGCCATGCAGGCCATGCTGGTGATAGTTGGTTACCTGCCAAATCTCCACCAACGAACAAGATTGGAAGCAAATCCAGCAACGCCAGCTGGCCTCCAGGTACTGCATAAGGGCAGGGGTTATGTCCTCACTTTAGAGTAGGTGTGCTGGGATCTTTCCTCATTGTGCTTTTTAAGTAACCACTGCAAGGAAAATATTTGCTTGGCCTGTCTGTTTTGTTTTGGTTTGTTTTCTTTTTTTAATTTTTTCCATATTAAATTAGATTGTAAATGTTGAATTTCCAGTTAAAATTGCTGGTCTAAATATGAAATAACTGCTGGATTACCTGACTAGTATTTTGGTTTTGTTAGGTGAACTCTCTGTAGTTTGGTGACTTTACAGAACTTTTTATGAGAGCACTTGTTCATAGAATACACAGTACTAGCTCCCTCCTCTAGTATTGACTCCTTATTTGCATTGTGTTAGGCTGACACAGGGTGTAAAAACTCTGATTGAGAACGTGGAATCGGAAAACAAAAGATGTGAAAGCTTGTTTTTCATGATAGTGGGAACAGGATTTTCTTGACCTTTAGTATTTTATGTAGCATGAACGTTTCTTCTGGCAACTGTTCACAAATACGATCCATTGCAGACCACAAGGTTCCCTTGCCAGCAGTATTGGTACAATGTGCATACGATGTGTTCTGTGCTGTTGTGGTTCACCTTCGCTCATGTCATGTAAAGGAGCGTTGCCATGTTTCAGTACTACTTAGCAATCTTGTGGCTTGAGTAGAAGGTTCTTGAGTTTTGGATTATAGGCAGTAGCATATTCTTTAAGCTTTCTAGAGTTTCACTGGCAGAATTTTGTCTTTCCAGTAGAAAACTTCAGATATCTAGGAAAAATATATGTGTATTTGAATACACATCATTTTCTGTATAAAACACTCATTAGACACAGAGTGGTCTCTTTCAAGTTGCATGGGTTAATCGCCAGTGTTATTCAGCAGATAGTGGATGCTGCGATTTTTCTCTGCCTGGAAGACTCTTACGTTCCAAGGAAATACTCTTTTGACTGCGAATTCTCTGCTTTGTATCCCCTCTGATACAAAAAAACAAAGCTGCAGGTGTATCTTTTGGGTAAATCAGTAGTTCAGACCTTGCATCAGAAAGCCTAGGAATCTGTGTGACCAATATAACTGAGGAAACTTACAGAAGTTGTTAAAGTTGGACTTGATCTTAAAGTCTTTCCCAACCTAGTTGATTCTGTGTGGGAAGCCCCCAGTGTCTAACTCTGGCAAGAAAATGTTTTCTGATGAGGTAACAGAGTTAAAGAATTAGTTATCTCACGAACATGTGCACACCCACATTTCATAACACTGACTGCTCTCTGTAGAGGTGTATTTGCATTACATTTCTGTTAGCCTGGTGGTTCAGTAACATTTCTGGTAAAGCCTGGTTCTTAAGCTGGAGTTACTATTAATAATGCAAGAAACCACCAAAATTTGATTTTTTGGGGGGTCCTCCCTCATAGACTCATTTTTACTGAACTTGTCTTTTCAGTCACCTTTCCCATATACAGTAGTGAGAAATACAGTACTCCTTGGAATGTTAGGAGGGGTATGTGAAAATCAGCTCTTCCCTGTTTACAGGGTTTGGAGTAGCTGCTGGTTCTGGCAAGATTCTTGGTGGCAGAAGGCTATTGCAGACATGAGAAGCTGAACAGCTACTCTTTGCCCCTCATTGATACCATAGAGCTTTCTTAGTCATACCTGCAGTCTCACTGTCAGTGATAACTAAGTATTTTCTGGTGCTGTCTGCCTCACCACTGTGAGAGGATAACTGGAGGTTACAAATCCTGAATATAAACTCACTAAGTTCATCGGTACCATCCCAAAATTCTTGTATTAATTAAAAGCCCATAACTGTGACTGCAGATGTCATGTAACAGATCATGGGGTTTGGCATGTGGCTTTTAAACATTTATTGCTGTATTGCTAGCCCTCTCTTACGAGGTCCATAGACTATTGGACGAGTGTTGTCCCATAACCACAGCCACTTAAGCTGTCTCATAACCTCTCTAGCTTATTGGCTTCCTCAAGAAGGAAAGGTTAGCTGAAATAATGATCCACTTTATCAACACCCCGCTGAAAGAATAAAGATCCAAAATGATTTTACACTGGAGGTCCTTTTTCTCTTTAAGCTTGTAGATGAGGCCCACTGTCAGTTCCTGATGTGGAGATACCATTTTAATTCCTAGTGCTGGAAAATAAGCTGATAACAAAAATGAGTTCATAAGAGGGAACCTCTTGAAATAGGTACATTTTCCTTTGAATGAATACAGTGGTCACTCAGCATTCACCCTGACAACACCTTTCACATTCTCCTCCGAAATGCCGTCCGCTGCAGAAATTCTGCTGTTCAAGAGAACTGTTTTGTTCAGCACAAAGATAAGTGAAGTGGTGCCTAATCAAACTGATAATCACAGTTGGAGGTGAGAGCAAGTGTTGCTGTGTTGGTGAGAACCGTATCTTTGGTTGTGTCACACAGAATTACATACCTAGGTAATACTAATCTGTAAATTTCCCATTCAAGAGCAGTTCAGTCATATTCTGCAGGCAGTCTGTCTCTGGTATGTCTGTCGTGGTTTTCCTAATAATCTTGTATGTGAACTTTTTGGGAGAACCTTTCAAATACCAGTGGAGAAATGCATTTCATGTTGTCTTTACTGTCTAGAAATTAGGCATGTCTGTAGGGAGAGTTGCTGAATGCACATAAGAGTAACTGCCAGTCCCAAAGGATAGTTTGGAAATATGTCAGTATGCTGAAGTTCAAGGAAAACTCTTTTCCAAACCAGGATTATATCGTTGAGTGAATATGTTTATATACACCATGTCTGGCCTTTGGAGCCCTGTTTAAATATTCGTATTGTTTTTATCGGTGCTTACTATGCACTTAGTTTTCAGTCTCACCAGTTCTTAGAAATCTTTACAAAAGCCAGACTTGGATCCCTTTAATTTCTGCAAATGAGTTCTGATTTCGAGATCCTAACCTGAGTTCATGGGTTCTTTATCTCAGACTAGACCCAAGAGCTGCATTGCTTGTTCCTTAAGCGTAAGGTGATTCTGTTTGTCAGAGTATTGCAGTATTTTGGCAGTAGCTGAGCAGATTCCTTCCTTGATGCAGTGCTGATCGCTCATAATGGTAGAAATGTTGATGCCTTGTATGCCAGATGATTTTGTTACTAAACACTGGGAGATGTGATTGAGGTTTACAAAATCAGGAAAGCAGTGAACAAGATAAATGCAGAATTTTCATCCTATGAATTCTGCAGCACTAGAACCTTGGTGCAAATGCTGAATAGAAAAGAACATATATGTAAAGCAACTGACAACTTTTTTCCTTTCAAGAGTGGTGAACTTGTGGAATATGTTGCTTTTAGAACTTCTGGAGACAAATGTTACTAGCCAGTTGAAACAGTGATTGGATAAGCCAGTGGAATAACTGTTTCACAAGGAGGTGCTCCCAGATTGAGGGTATTTCTGGCATCCTGGGTAGAAGGACTGTAGATGCTGGGTGAGTGTGAGGGCAGTAGCCTACAGATAGTAGTAGCCAAGTTTGCTTTCTGTCCCTAAATGGTATTGCTCCCACCACTATTAGCAGAATACTGGGCTAAATAAACCACATTTTAGACTCAGTGGGTTATTTTTTCAGTCTTCTGAGATTCTCCTGCCAGTGCATTAATACTGTTGTTGCTGCTGTGCCGGTTGTTTGAACAAGTAGTATCACATTTTCTCCTGTATTTGTGAAAGTCAGTCTTGACTATGCTTCTTTGTTACAAAGGTGACTGAAATGAACCCTTCCATGCCAGGTTTATGCTACATGGTTTCATTACAGAGATCACATCCTGGATCCTAATTTTAATAATGGATTTTTAATTACACACAAATATTTTGCCATTAATTGTTTCAGAACTTCAGATTGGAAATAAAGGTATCATTCCATATCCTGGACTTCTGTCTGCAAGGGGTGAATCTGCCACCTTTGCACTCTTTTCACACCCAAATTGTCACATAATAGCTGGAGCTTCTTTACTTGTTTTTGTGTTTGGCAGTTTTGCTTTTCCATCACTGCTTCCAAAATGGACCGCAGCACTTTGTTCGCTGAACATCTAGTCAGAGAAGGAAACAACTTGCTGATCTTTCTTAGAGTAACTGCAGTTTTTTGTATGTTCATACTTCATATAACTCATCTTCTTGTCTTAAAAATCTGACATGCCTGGAGCTATAGTTGAGAGAATTAGTATACTCCATTTGACTTGAAAGCATGAAGAGCATCAGTGAATATATACATTGCTTTGACCACAAGGCATCTCACCTTAGCATTACCTCAGTACTGATAGTTAATATATAAAGTGTGTGTACCTACAGTATAAAATGTCAGATGTCCTGTTTAAGAACTCTTTAAGGTAGGTATCCTTTCTTTGAGAAAGGTTTCTGCACATACACAAAGTGTGTATGCAGAATAGAATCTTAAAATATATATTATAATCTTGCATATCTTAAAAAATATATAATGTGTTAAGGAAGGGTGTGACTATTGAAGTCTCATTTTAATGTAGTAAAACAGGAATAGTCGAAGGATTACCATATGCACTTGCACTACTTTTTGTAGTGTAGACTTGTATTTAGGCACCGGAGCTAGTGCTGTGGGAGGAAATGTGAAACAGATTTTAATTAAGAAATGTCTTGATATTTTTTCTGAGGAACAGTGCAGAAGACAATTACCTACCTTCCTAAAATATCTTCAACAGTTGCTTCTAGTAAATGGCATTTCCCTTTATGCATCTAATTTCTTTCTTCCCTCCCATTCCAGAGTTCCAACCAGGAGTGCCATGGAAAGGTATACAAAACATTGACCCTGAATCTGACCCCTATGTGACCCCTGGAAGTGTGCTGGGGGGGACAGCCACATCTCCCATTGTAGATACTGACCACCAACTTCTGCGGGACAACACCACAGGTAAAACAGTGAACAACTGCTATGTGATTATTTTAGTCATTCTGATATTTGAGAATATTCTGATGTTCCTGTCGTAACAGGGTAATAGTCTATTGCATTTGACTAAGAAGGAAGCCTCTGTGCTTTTTACACTGTGGATGCGTTATCACACTGACAGCTTCGCACAGCCGTGGCTCTCTTGAGGTTTAACAGTGTTACAAAAATTCTGTGAAATTGGTCTGTTCTTTCTCCTTTTCCCTGTGATAGGGTCTAATTCTTCCCTCAACACCTCGCTGCCTTCACCTGGTGCCTGGCCCTACAGTGCCTCTGACAATTCCTTCACCAACGTTCATAGCACTTCAGGTATGTAGACTTCGAAACTCACCTGGACATTTTCCACTTATTCACTAATTCTTCGTTCTTGGTTAAATTTGAATATTTAGTCTTTCAGTAAAGATGATAAAATACCCTGTTGTAATTGCTTCAAAAACTAGACTAAGAATCCTCTACCCTTCCTCCCACCCCTATACAGAAGCCTTAGTTATGTGTCATGGTTTAACTCCATCTCACCAGCGCACTTGCCAACAAACTGGTGAGATGGAGGAGAAAATTGGAAGAGTGAAAGTGAGAAAACTCATGGGCTGTGACAGTTTAATAAGTAAAGCAAAAACGGCGCACTCAAGCAAAGCAAAACAAGGAATTCATTCACCACTTCCCATCAGCAGGCAGGTGTTCAGCCATCTCCAGGAAAGCAGGGCTCAGTCATGCATAACAGCTACTTGGAAGACCAACACAGTTACTCTGAATGTCCCCCACTACCTACTTCTTCCCCCAGCTTTATATGCTGAGCATGACACCATATGATATGGACTATCACTTTGGTCAGCTGTCTCAGCTGTGTTTTCTCACAACTTCTTGTGCACCTGCAGCCTATTCACTGGTGGGGTGGGGTGAGAGGCAGAAAAGCCCTTGACTCTGTGTGAGTGCTGCTCAGCAGTAATTAAAATATCCCGGTGTTATCAACACTGTTTCCAACACAAATCTAAAACGTAGCCCCATACTAGCTACTGGGAAGACATTTAACTCTACCCCAGCCAAAACCAGCAAGTTAAATAAGTGAGCAGCAGATGCAAAAGGGAAAAAAAACAAAACACATGCACAGTATGTTGACCTGTGTAAGGATTTGGTTTGTAGATTTTTAAATATACCTGCTGCTGTATGAATTTAGGTGAGCGATTTTCTTCATTTTAACTTCAGAATATTGAAGTGCTGTGAAAGAAACAGTATTGCCTCAGCTCTTATAGCCACTCATCATTCCCTGAAACCTGGAGAGAGAGAGTGGTTTTAATCCTTTGGGTTTTAAAGGTTGGCCTGTAAATAGTAAATTAGATACCTGACTCAGATGCTTGGTAAAGGTCTCTAAAGCTTTCTTGTGAAAAACTGTTTCTGCACACACTTCTGAATACGATGCTGGAAATACTTGCTCCAGAGAAACCATTTGAATTTTGAACTTCGTACAAATGCAGGAGTTTTCTTTTGAAGAGAGTGTCTTGACAGCTTCTTAAAAGTAAACGAATGTGTGTAAATAGTGGAAGTGACAAACATGGCACAGAGCTACATCTGGCGCAAACTTTGTTTTTTGTACCTTACTCAGTGAAAGCTGTGTTCATATGTTATTGGAGCATCTTCACAAAATCCGTTGAAAATCCTAGATAGCCTTGAGGGAAAACAGTGTTCCTGCTGCCAGTTTGTGGGGTCACTTCAGTTTGAATAAATATCTGTATATGCAGGATTCCAATGACAGAGTCATAGTCCTGGGGAAAGGAGTGGCATGTATCAGCTTCTTACCTCTGCTTAAGTTTTGTCTAGCACATAAGAAAGACCCAAGAAATTAAAAATGATTGAGGTCATAGTTGAATTGAGAAGACTAGACTAGTGCCTGGCACACATACCATTTTCTGCACAGCTTGTTAAACTACACACCAGCATTTTACAGCCAGAAGGCAGGTCATCTGAATTAGGGATTTAGAATTCACATATCTGTAAAACAAACTGAATCTAGTGAAAGTAGGAAGGGCTTCAGTTTTATTATAGGTTAGTAGTGACCCAACTTGTAAGAATTCTTAGGTTTTCAAATGAAATGTAGTATGGACATCAAAGTTGCTGTTCATCTTATTAATGATTGAACATACTGCAGCCGGTTACATTATCAGAAATGTCAGCATATCTAAAATAAGCAAAGATTAACTTACATGTAGCATGGTGGTTTTTGGTGTAGTATAAATTAACTGTTGTATGGTTTTGTGCTTTGTGCTTGCCTCTGATACAAAAGCAGCCAAAGGGTTTACAGCAATAGTACAGGTAAAAGCTAGTTGAATCTCACAAATTTCTCTAACACATACAATTTATTTAATCTTCTAGCAAAATTCAGTGATTACAAATCAACATGGTCCGCAGATCCCATAGGACACAATCCCACTCATCTCTCCAGCAAGATGTGGAAAAACCATATTTCCTCAAGGAACACTACAGGGCTGCCCCGCCCGCCTCCTGGCCTGACCAACCCCAAACCATCATCTCCATGGAACAGCACAGCATCCCGATCGGTCAGGGGCTGGGGGGCACAGGACTCAAGGCTTGGCTCTGGTGAGAAGAATCAACTGATAGCACCATTGATCAGACCTGAGGAGTGTACGTTTTACAGCACTAATGGTTTGGAGGAAAGAAAGTTGCAGTTGTCTGGTAATAGATAAAAAAAAGTTCCTTCTTGAAATGGAAATTTGCTGTCAGTAATGGGGTTGGACAGTGGGTGGGGGTTGTGTGTGGAATTCCAGGTCCTGCTTCAGGGGAAGGAGTAAAGAGGGCTGGAAACTGCCAGGAGGGAATAACTATTGCATGGGGCTTTTCATAGATGCTTTCTGTGGGTGGGAAACTCCTCAAAGACAAACTTTAGTAAAAAGTGAATCTTGATGGGAAATGTGAGGAAAGATGTGGTTTTGTTTCTGGGACTGAAGATCAGGCTTTCATGTGTTAGCAGGGTTAATAATGCCAATAATGAATTTGCCTGAGATTTGAAAGACCTGACTGTAAAGGAAAATGGTTTTCTTTGTATCAAATCTGTCTTGATTATCCTGTCTTCTAATTTGCAGCATCTACTTGGAGTGATGGTGGTTCAGTTCGTCCTAGCTACTGGCTGGTTCTTCACAATCTCACTCCACAGGTATTTTCTGTTGTTGTCTCTGGGAACTTGTTTGCTTTACCAAAATACAGATTTGTGGATTCTGCAGGTGTTTCTCTTTGAGCAAAATCAGATTTCTCAGCATATGTAAACTGTGTTTCTTCTAAACTGGGCTGCAGTCTGATTGTTTTTTCTACTGTAATCTCTTCAGCTTTAATATGTTCAGGTTTTGCTACACAGCCTTTCATTACCTAGACTTTCAAAAAAATTATTGGAACAGAAAGATTTTTCTTAGAAGTGAGGATAAGTTTCATGACCATAATGTGGGACGGTTTATAGCTGTTAAGGAGACTGTTCTTGTCAATAAGAAAGCTGGTGTAACTGCCAGTTTTCATTTTGATGTTTCCATAGTGAAACCACAGAATGTTTCCAGCACTTCTGCAAAAACAGTCTAGTTAGGTTATTCCTGCAAGTATTCTTGGAGCTTGTGTCCATTCAGAACGAATTCTTTGTAATCCTGGTTTCAGCAATCTCTGTTAGTCTGTATTCAAGACTTTGGAAAAGCCTGTACGATTATCAGCAGCACCCTGAGGTCTAGACAGTGTCCCCTGTTCAGCAAGATAATTTACCATGCTTCTAGTACAGTTCAAGAAAACATCAGTGTGAAAGGAAAAACTAACACCTCATTCATATCACCCAAAATGGCACATTGTGCTTCTTTCATGGAAGAGACTCTTTTGGATGACATGAAGGATGCAGGAGTGGTGTGAAGAAGAACAGTTCTAAGTCTCCCATGTGCAAGGTAGTTAAATACTGTTTCAAGAATTATTTAATGAAAGAATATATTTTTGGAAGCATTTAAGGTAATAGAGCAAGAAGCAGATTATAATTGTCTCTTTCATAACAAATCCTCTATTCACTGTGGGTCAGTACATTAGAGAGAAGGAAGTATAAAGGTTAAGGTGGATTCAGGGACAGTGTCTTCATTTCAAGTTTCTCTGTTTTTACCATTACCATGTTTGCACTCCCGTACAACTTCCTTTTCCCTGGTTTGAATTGTATTATATGGTAGAAGGTGGGGAGGGAGAAGGAAAAAAGTAGCACTTCCTTAAGTATCTGCACATATGGATCCCATTTGTGTGTGCATGTTCCTGTGGCATACTAGGAATGGAATCTGTCTGTACAGAACACCGTGGTGAACAGCAGTTACTGGAGGTAAATAGCAAGCTGTTACTGCTGCAGAAGGAATGTAGGCAACAACTGCTGTGAAAACATTAATTCAGGAGGAATGAACATTGCTGGGTTTGGCAGAAAGATCACTGACTGTTTCTGTGACACTGTCTTCATAACCATGAAGACAGAAAAGCACCAAAATAAACTTCTGAAAACCCTCATTGCAGGGGTGGTATTTCCACTTCTACAAAAAACTTTTAAATACTGATTGATCTAAATTCTGCTGAAATCTGAGTGCTGGAAACTAAGACATTCTCGTTCCCTTGGTATAAGTGGCTGAGGATGATAAGAAGTACAAGTTACGTATATAAATACTGGAAAACTGGCCAACGTAAGGACAATGACAATGTAAGAAACTCGGTGAGGTGTGGAAAACTGAACTCGAACTACAAGTGCATGGGAAATATAAGTGAGATTATTCCATAAAGCAAAGTCATTGTAGTTGTGGGAAGCCAGGGTATACCGATTCTGTTTGAGAATTAAATTCTGTCCCCTTTGTTTACCTCCCTGTGCTATCACCTGTTTCCCTTTCTGAGAGCAGTTTATCTTTTAATTACCAAGACAAAGTTACAATTGAAGTCCCTTTGGAGAAGTAGTTAGAAACATCTGCCTTATCCTGACTGTTCTTCCTCAGATCGATGGGTCAACCTTGAGGACGATCTGCATGCAGCATGGCCCACTGCTGACATTCCATCTGAACCTGACCCAGGGCACCGCCCTTATCCGATATAACACCAAACAAGAGGCGGCCAAGGCCCAGACTGCACTGCACATGTAAGCAATCCCCATGTCTGTTCTTTGTTACTGCATTAGTCATGAACACAAGATGTCTGTCCAGTGTTTATGCTTTGGGAACTCGTTTCAAGTATCATGGTTGGAAGGGAATCTTTTGCTCATTGGCAGAGGAAGAAGAGAAACAAAGATGCCTTCTGTGTAGCTTTAATTGCTGGCACAAACTGGCACATACACAGCTAAGAGGGTGCAAATAGGATAGAACTGTGACCAGTACGCACCTGTGGTGTAGGATTTTGGCCATTTTAAAAAAGCTTGTGAACTGTGTAAGATGAAACTCATATGCATAACGCATAAGTAGATGTCGGGGAATCTGCTGTCATTTTGAGATAGACCTGAAATTGGTGACTTAAAAAGCTGCAGATCTGAGGTTTTATGTTCATAAGCTTTTTGTAGCTGAGTATGGCTCTGGTATGTTTTGAAAATTGGGGAGGTTTTGAGACAAAAATCTTGCTGGAGCCTGGGGATGGTGGTTTCAGTTAAACTCAGTAAAAACTTCTGGACTATATTAATCATACCCTGAATTTCACAGGCTTTTAACCTGTTCTTACTCTCTTTTGTTAGGAAGGTGGCGTGTGTGCATTTGCCGGTTTAGATACACTATACAGGCACTTTTTTTTTTCTCTTAGTGTTAATGTTCAGGACCTTAGTTTAAATTTAGAAAGGTTTTGTTGCAGGCATAGTAGCTGAATGTTGAGGGGGGAGTTGCTTGGTTTGGTTTTGGTGGGTTTTTTCCCCCTTTAAAATAGAAGTTCTTGTGCTCTGAGTCAGTTTCACTGTTGAGAACAGCTGAAGTTTTCTGTGCTTGCTGCTTTTTGGCAAGCTGATACATCTCCTTTGGTTTGGGCACCTAACAGTGTTTGTTTTCATGCAATTTGAATCCCTTGCCCTTACCTTCTGGCTCTAATCACTATTTTTTTCTTTTGTGTATCTTGTCTTCTAGGTGTGTGTTGGGAAACACTACCATCCTGGCTGAGTTTGCCACAGATGAAGAGGTTAGTCGTTTTCTGGCACAAGCTCAGCCCCCTACACCTGCAGCAACCCCAAGTGCGCCCACAGCAGGCTGGCAACCCCTGGAGACAGGACAGAACCAGACAGATCCAGTTGGACCTGCTTTGAATCTCTTTGGTGGGTCAACAGGGCTTGGGCAGTGGAGCAGTGGTGGCGGCAGCAGCAGCAGTGGGAGTGATCTCACTGGCGCTTCGTTGTGGGGGCCCCCAAACTATTCTTCAAGTTTGTGGGGGGTCCCAAGCGTAGAGGATCCACACAGAATGGGCAGCCCTGCTCCCTTACTACCTGGAGACCTTCTGGGAGGAGGGTCGGATTCAATCTGAACTTAGAACTTTCAACTCTGACCTCGTGACCTTTTTTGGAACAGCAGCAGCACTAACTTGACCTTTTCGTTTTTTTCAACTTGCAATAAATACATTTATAAAAGGAAAAAAGAAAACGGAGAGAGAAAAAAAAAAAAAGGTGGGTCATTGACAGACTGTCTGAGCACATAGTTGCCTCCCTTATATAACTTCAGTTTTTTCGTTTGGAATATGAATCCAAAAAAGAGAACATATCACTCTTGAAATACTTGAATCATGAACGCCAACTAGAAAGACAATGTGAAGCAAGTACACATACCATTTAAATTTAAACACAAAAAAGTAAAAAAATTAGTTTCTAGTTTTTCACTTTTTCATGTTATACGGAAGTTGTTGCTAAGAAACATATATACTGAAAAAATAGCTTTTTAACTTCGTTTGCACTGGGTGTGTTTCCGTCCTTAGGTCTACCATGTTGGGTTGGGGTAGGGGAGGGTTTCAAAAGCAAAATGGGGTGGGGGGGGAGGGGAAGACTTGACGGAGCCTCACTTTAAAAACAAAAACAAAAACAAAAAAATTTAAAAAGTAAAAAACCCACAAAAAAAAAAAAGAACAAAACAAAAAAACCAACAAAACAAAAAAACCAACACTTTGTGATTGGCTGGTTGATAAGTACCAGTGTGTTCTGGCACATGTAACTGCCCACGTGTGCTTGTTTCTGTGTGAGTGTGTGTGCACATGTTTGTGTGTGTGCATTTTTTTCTCTCTATATATAGTCTTGAAACGCTGCATTGCTGATGGTCTACGGGCTGGCTGGCCATCTGCATGTCTTGATTCTGGAAACAAGACGGCCATGGTGGAGTCCCTGTGGCTGAAGCAGAATCCAGTTGGGCTGGATTAAAATTTGTCAGTAGGGTTTTTTAAATTCATTTTAGCAGGGTGCTATCTCAAATTTGCAGATCATATTGAGTGGGTAGTTGCTTCCTGGCCCTTGTTCTAACCCTGTGGTAGAGCAGAACACTGCCATATCCAAAGGATTTGGTGAGAGGGGAGCCAATGTTGTCTTTTGAGTAGCGGTGTATTTATTTATTTATGTCTGCATGTGGGGTTTTTGTACTGAGTGAACCCTAGAATGTTTGTTATGTAATGCAAGCCATTTTTTTTTCTTCCAATGAGGGGAAAAGAGGAGTAAATAAGACATTGCCATTTTTTTTGTGCAGCTAAATCAAATGCTCTTATTAAGTGTCTCACAAGCTTCAGTACCTTTAAAAAGAGCAGCAGTGTTTCTTTTCCCCCCCAGACCTATATAGGCACCCATACTGATTCTTGAAGACTCCATCAAAAGCTTGAAGGTCCAGCTCAACCAAATTAGCCTTTTATTTGATTGACTCCTTGTATTAAAACTGACAAAAAGCAAATGGTGTCAGCAAATTGCTGTCCGGCCTGCCTCATCTCCTGAAAGCACATGCAGCTAACTCCTTTCTGCGTCCTTCATGGTGAGCGTTACCTGTGCCAGGCCTTGGTGTATTACAGCGCCAGACCATCACTGACAGAAACGTTTACTTATGAATGTTCTTAAACCAGTGTGTACTTCAAAGGTTTCCTTTTGTTTCTCTGTGTTGTGTTTTTTCCTGTGTATGTGGTTTTGCTTAGGGAGGTATATAACTAGCAAAGACTTTTTTTTTCTTTTTTTTTTTTTTTCCTTAAGAAGTATTGCACCTTTTTGGTTTTTTGTTTTTACTTTTTCTGTACTGTTGCTTTTTAATTTCTGTACTTAAGGAAAGGTTTGGGGTTTTTTTAGCATCAGTATAGTAGTACTCCGGGCAGGATAGGGGTGACCTGTAATCCACAGTGATAGCCAGTGTGTGCGTGCATGTGTGCGCTGGGAACAAAACTTTTCAGACCTGTTGCGAAAAAGAGTTGTAGCAGACATGAAGGAACATCCCTTGACATAAAGTGAGAGGTCTTTCCGGGGGGGGGGGGGGAGGGGGGGAAGGGAGTGGGCCTAGGAGAATAGGGAAGAGAGATGCCGGTACTTCTTCCGTAAGTGCTAGGACTTCCATGTGGTGTTGTCCAGCTGTTATACTGTCTATCAAAGTGCCGACATTCTGTACCAGCACATACCTGTCCATTCCAGCCCTCAGTGGTAGCAGTGCGCGGGCTTTATTATCTGGGGGCGGAGGATAAGGGACTTTTTCTTCAGCATTTTCATTGAAGGATATGACAGTGTCTAATACATTTAACTCTTAAGCATGGGTTGGGTGGGAAGAAGGAACAGCAGATTCAAGTAATGTAGAGGGGAGTGTGTGTGTGTGCGTGTGTGTATGCCTGTGCAGGGGATGGGAGGGAAGGGCTAGGGAGTTTGGTGGCTTTTTTTAATTTGCCCTTTCTATGTAAACCCAATGTCACAAGGAAGACTGACTGAGGGAAATGCTGCATATACACATGCCTGTAGATTTGTATGCAAAGTGTTACGTGACAAAAAGTACGAGTAGGTTTGTATTTGCTTAGTAAACTGGAGTGTGCAGCATACTCTGGCCCCTTCTGAATATACTTTTCTATCATGTCTCCTCTTTCATCCATCCCACCATGCACAAAGGAACAAAATGCTCTCTTCCAGCTCCTGCTAGCCAGTGCCCCTTGCGTGCACACATCCATACAGCTTTGTTTCTGCTAGTCTCTGCTCAAAGACCAGCCACGCTCAGACATGCAGAACAGGTTCTTAACAGTCCTGTGCCAGCAGTACTTCCTAGCGAAGCACCTTTGGCCTGAGTAAGCCAGTATCCGTTCTGTCACATGATTTGCTATACATGCTGGTTCATTGCTGTGTTCCACCCTCACTTCTCTCTCCCAACCTACCCTAAGGTCCCTTTTCCTGCACTTTGGGCTAGTTGAGGTCATTGCGATACTACGGTGAAAGCCGGGTGCTAGAGCCCCTCTTGTTTACAAGACATAATGAGGGATTTGAAATATTTAAAAAGAAAAGCTAAATTGTTCTTCCATTGTAAGCTTAAAGGGAAAAAAATTAAAACATACAAAAAAAAAAAAGACCAAAAAGTGCATATATATATTTTAGATGAAGACTAACTCTGGGAGCATTTAACAGTGTTTTTGTTTTTATTTTAACATTTTATTTTCCTGCTTTAAATTTGCAAGCATTCTCAGGAATTCTAGGGTAGGAAGCCAGTTTTTTGAAGATGGTTTATTTAACCTTATCTTATCCTAGATAGATGGCTGTTTCTTGTGATAAACTTTTACAAGTTCCTGAATCTTCAAAATGTTTGAAAGTTTTTACTTTAAAATAAAAATGCTAAAAAAAAAAATAAAAAGAAAAAGAAAAAAAGAAGAAATCTCCAAACATTACTGTCAAGGGGGGAACAAGAATTTTAAAGACTGTAACATACATTAAAAAACTTCTCAATATCAGCAACAGAAATTCATTGTAATCTTAAACAAGTTGTGGGAGAAGAAGGGTTCTCATTTACAGTGCTTTGTTATTCATACGGATACGTGCAGTTGCATGGAGAAATGTGTGAATGGAAATCTGTCACTTTGTTCCCTCTTGATTGAAACTAAATGAAAATATTCTTCCAAGCACCTTTTTAAAAGCAAAGTGAAACCATAAACCTAATTAAAATGCAGTATAGTTTAACTGAAAAGAGTCCTCAGTTAGGAGGACTAGCAGGAAATACACGATGGTGCTTCTTTAAACCACTTTTAAGTAGTGCTAAAGAAAACCAGTGCTGACAGAATACCCAGTAATGAAGTAGATTTATTATCCTGCCTTTTTCAATACAGAAAAGGGAGGCAATATGTAAAGACTCCAGTAAAATGTATATTAGAAATGAACATTTTTGTTTTCACTTACTTGGTCAGTTTCATTGCCCACTTGGAGATTTGCTGCTTGCTTTTCTTCACCTACCCCACCTCCCAGTCTTTCTGTTATATTTTCTATGGGGGGAAAATACCTGTTAAACTCTTCTGTTCACTCTGTTGCTGCTGGCTGTCAGGGCTTACAATCTAGAACTTCAGAGTTCGGTGTTGGTTATGGCCAGCTTCTGTCTCCCAGCTCTAAGGGTCAGGGGCTTAACTCTGCCTGAAATGGCTAGGCTCAAACCACAGAGACCGTGCTAGTGCCTTTTTACATGCACCCACATGCCCTACAGTAGGGAAAGGGAGAGAAGATGAGGCAAAATGAGTCAGTATAGCCACTTGATGGAAGTAGATGTTCCCATTCTTAAGGAAAAGAGCATACTGTGTTAAGCATGCCATGCAATGAGTTATGAAACAGTAGTTAAGGTTTTGTTATTAAAAAAAAAAGATGCCAAATTCTGTCCTTTTCATATCTGTTGCCCCGTGTTTTCATGTTGCACTGCGTGTACATCTGAGCGTATACGTGCGTATTGAAAGTAATGCATCAATAAGAATAATAACGTGCTTTAAAAAAAATAATCCTGTCATATGTCAGTAAAAGGAAGGTTTATTTAGGGAGTTTGGGGCGTTATTTTATGGAGAGAGTTTGAGTGCTTTGCCAGAGGTGTTCTACCAAATCTGCAGTGTCCTAAAAGAGAGGAGGCTGTAGGATTTGGTCAAAAGGAGCCCAGGAACTTGACAGTCATTTGGAAGCAGGTTGTGACTGGCTGCCAGAGGATTGGCAGTCTGGAGCTTTGACAGTCTGCTGGGTCCAAGCCTATCATAGTACAACAGTCTGCTCCTCCTTTTGCTAAATGTGCAGCCTGCAAATGTTAGTGACTGTCTCCTTAGTGATAGTTTTCCTAAATCATTAAAGCAAGATTAATCTTAGAATTCTCCAGCTACAGTTGACAGTTTTGTTCCACTCAGAATTTTATGTAGCTAACGATGATGTTGCTAGTATGTCTTAGTCATGGCACTTCTGACGATGGCAAGTGATTCCTGAGCACTGTGCTAACCGGATTCATCTTCTGGGGACAACCAGCACTCAATGTAGCAAGTAATCCTGCTACCATTTGAGCCCGTAACAACTAAAAGCAGCAATTGATGTTAGAGTACTTCTGGGCTTTTACAGAACTGTTCCAGGGAGGGAATCGGTGGCATCATCTTGTTTAAACTTACCAACAAAGAAGGTGGTGAAAAGAGGCTGGGGAAAGCACAGCTCAGAATAGGCTATGGGCATCTCTTTCTAGAGAAAAATCAAACATAACACCTTTCACTAAAAAAAAAAACTTTTTTTTTTTTTTACTTTAAGTGTTTTTTTACTTTCTCTGTTACTCTTTTTATTATTTTGTTCTTAGTTTTGGTTCTCCAGGTTATATACTTTAAACATACACATACTCTACAAGTGGTTTCAGCATTCCAGGTTTTTTTCCTGGTTTTGAATCCTCCATTGCTTATTTTGTAAAAGAAAAAAGAAATACATTTTAGCAGTCTTGTAATCAAATATCAATTTGTTACCAGCCACTTT